AGAAAGTGAGACAAGTCAGGGTCCCAACCCTGACAGAGCCACAACGCTTTGGAGATGGGACAATAAAACAAGGAAATTGAGACAAGAATAGCTAGCGTCGAGTGAATGATTTCGTAAACGTATAGGCAAAGACAAGAAGATACGGATAAATGTACAAGGCCACACGATCAGAAAATTCAGAAGAGGACAGCTTGAGATAGAACAGTATTCATGTATTAGGGTGTCCTCAGTGTAAATCTTTATATCGATACTATTTATTTAGTCGTTACACATCATAAAACTGTCATGAAAATATCCGCTCTGATATTCAATATAAAAGTTTGTATATAATAAGCTATATAATAGGGTTTCAGACAAGGTTGTTACTCATTTCCCCTTTTCTTTCAATTTACAACCACATTCAGGCGACGATATGAGAACGTTCCACCACATGGAATTAGCTGATTTTTGGTACACATATGAAACAAGTAAAGCTCTATCCGATTTTCTGATGGAAATTTGCATCCAAAACTATATAACGGGAGAAAATTGCAAATTTATGGCATTTTTCTTCATAATTGTGTCTCTGCAAGTGCATTTTCATCCGAGAATTTTTTTTTTATGTTTTATGAATAAACACGATGTTTTGGAAATATTTATCAAAAGAAATTTATACTATGTTGCGAATTACAATTTCGAGATAACCTTCTTTTATTTACGAACTTATGTCTTTGATGCTGAAATTGACAACTTTATAAAAATACATTTTCACTGAAATTGTAAAAATCTGGGTGTCGGAAAAGTGTAAAATTATTTTTCGGAAGAGAAAAAAACAGTAGTTGAGCTAGATAAGAAATTATACGGGGGCAGGCTCCTTTGGAGAATTTACATTACTGGAAACAGGCCCTTTTATATGAAAACTGCTCTTGTTATAGAATGACACCAATTACCAAATCTCTTAAAGAAATATTTTAGGATTGATAATTCATGTATGCTATCAGCGATATTTCTAGTTTCATCTTTCAATGTCGTTAGGGTCATTTTCAGTGTTGTAAATTTTCACACGTCAGCTAAATAATTTCATCAAGTAAATTAGGTTGTTCTCGATTTGTGCTCTGAGAGATCCAAGTATCTACATCCTGGTTGATTGTGTTTTCTTTATCTCCGAAGGACTGTGCGAACTTTCCGTGTTGACGACCTTGTCCGCCGATAACTACGCCAATAAGATAATAGACAACCAAACAATGTTTAAGGAGACGCTTTTAAATAACAGCCTGTTTGATCAAGTTCCTGGTATTGTCTAATTCTGTCTAAGCTGAGAGTATGGTAGCCGAGTCGTCGTACCAGAAGTTTCACGGAAATCCACGAGAAGTTTTTTGAAAGTTCATACCTTATAACAAATCAGATCAATAAACTTCATTTCTGGATTTTATGAAGTAATATTAGATAAATCATATCAAATATGTGTGGTGGCTCAGTGGGTACCGCAAAGGATTTTCATTATGGAACCATTGATTTAAAACTATAAGAGACCGTAAAAATAACCCCAACCAAAAAATCAGTTTACAGGATTTTTCAAGTCTAACAGAGAAAGGTGAATGATATGTGTCTTTAATAAAAATACGTATTGATAGGTCTCAATTCATTTCAGTTGTTGCAAGGGTTATAGGTCCACGGCATCACTGATGAGTCCTAGAAAGACGAAACAGCTGTATGATGTAGTCTCACTGACGAGTCCTAGAGGGACGAAACAGCTGTATGCACCACTGGCAAGTCCTAAAAGGACGAAACAGTTGTATGATGTAGCATCACCGACGAGTCATAGAAGGAAGAAACAGTTGTATGATGTAGCATCACTGACGAGTCCTAGAAGGACGAAACAGCGGTATGATACTATTTGATTCACTGTTAGGCACTCTTTAATTCTAAATTATACTAAATGCTGTTACATCACAATCCCTCTCAATAGATTGACACGAATGAATATCGCAAACCTTTAATATAGTTTTACTAAACTGAAGAAAGTATGCTTTGTAATACTGGTTTGACTACCATTTCTTTATTAAAAATAAAAAATTATAACTTTCGCCAGGAATTGAATTTTAAGCTAAAATTTAGCATATAACCGACAAATAAAAGAACAAAAACGTTGGATATCAGGTTGAGTACAATGTTGACGTCAAGGACGTCAGTATATAGTACAATGTTGACGTCAATGACGTCAGTACATAGTACAATGTTGCCGTCAATGACGTCAGTATATAGTACAATGTTGACGTCAATGTCCTCAGTAAATAGTACAATGTTGACGTCAATGTCCTCAGTAAATAGTACACTGTTGACGTCAATGTCCTCCGTATATAGTACAATGTTGACGGCAATCTCCTCCGTACATAGTACAATGTTGACGTCAATGACCTCAATACATAGTACAATGTTGACGTCAATGACGTCAGTAAATAGTAAAATTTTGACGTCAATGTATAGTGCAATGTCGACGTCAATTACGTCAGTATATAGTACAATGTTGATGTCAATGACGTCAGTAAATAGTACAATGTTGATGTCAATGTCCACAGTACATAGTACAGTGTTGACGGCAATGTCCACAGTACATAGTACAATGTTGACGTCAATGACCTCCGTACATAGTACAATGTTGACGTCAATGACGTCAATAAATAGTACAATGTTGACGTCAATGACGTCAGTATATAGTGCAATGTTGATGTCAATGACGTCAATAAATAGTACAATGTTGACGTCAATGACCTCAATACATAGTACAATGTTGACGTCAATGACGTCAGTAAATAGTACAATGTTGACGTCAATGACGTCAGTATATAGTACAATGTCGACGTCAATTACGTCAGTATATAATACAATGTTAATGTCAATGACGTCAGTATATAGTACAATGTTGATGTCAATGACGTCAGTATATAGTACAATGTTGATGTCAATGGCGTCAGTACATAGTACAGTGTTGACGTCAATGTCCACAGTACGTAGTACAATGTTGACGTCAATGACGTCAGTAAATAGTACAATGTTGACGTCAATGACGTCAGTATATAGTGCAATGTCGACGTCAATTACGTCAGTATATAATACAATGTTGATGTCAATGACGTCAGTATATAGTACAATGTTGATGTCAATGACGTCAGTACATAGTGCAGTGTTGACGTCAATGTCCACAGTATATAGTACAATGTTGACGTCAATGACCTCAATACATAGTACAATGTTGACGTCAATGACGTCAGTAAATAGTACAATGTTGACGTCAATGACGTCAGTATATAGTGCAATGTCGATGTCAATTACGTCAGTATATAGTACAACGTTGATGTCAATGACGTCAGTACATAGTACAATGTTGACGTCAATGTCCTCAGTATATAGTACAATGTTGACGTCAATGTCCTCAGTACATAGTACAATGTTGACGTCAATGTCCTCAGTATATAGTACAATGTTGACGTCAATGTCCTCAGTACATAGTACAATGTTGACGTCAATGACCTTAGTATATAGTGTAATGTTGACGTCAATGACGTCAGTACTATGTTGTGACGTAGCCAAGTCTGGTTTGATCCTGTCAAACACGATGAATATATTGTCAGTAAATTTGTATGAATTTACATATGATTGACGAAACAGTTCAAACAATATGCCCGGATTCTTCCTCAATACTCTCACTTAACGCAGGTTCACGCTTCTTTTAACAATCCCCTTCCGTACTTGTCTATATAAATGATTAAAAGAGCTAAAGAAATGTTCATCTTCATAATATACTGTCGCCTTTCTCTGTACGTATAAAATATTGTACCACATATCCCAATGAAAATGTTTTACCAGTAATGTTCATAGAGTGGGTGGTGTGACAGATGTAGATATATAGCGGTGGCGTTCTTCAAAGGATGTAAAGTTTAAATAGATAATAAATAGATGTTTTATAGTCATTGAAATTTTGCGAATGAATAATACTTGTTTATTTATATCCATAAAGTATATTTTGTTCATATTTTGATGTAAAACTAGAACCTCTTAGTACTTTAACAATGCTGTACTGTGTTAGTATGGCTACAGAGAGGAAGTTGTTTCCGAGAAATCGTCTCTAATCCGTTCACAAAGGTAATATGCCGCGTTCAAATATGAAAATGTATATTTTTACTTAAGTCTGATATATATATATATCTATTGTGGCTCATTGTTGAAGTCGATATGGTTTTATATCAACCTGGAAGACGTCCTTGGTCAATAGTTGTCTCCCAGGTTGATTTACACTATATTTGCCGAAATTAACTATCCTTAATTTCTACTTTACATATGCATAAGTATTTTGATTATTGCCTTATATGATTTTAACATAGTCTTCTATTAAAACTGAACATTCAGATAAATATATTATTGCCAATAAATGTGTTATGTTCTTAACGATAAAAAATTATAAAACCTTTTTACAAACAAAAAAAAAACAAAAAAATCTCGAATTAGAATATAACACTTATCCATCAAGACACGAATATCATATTCTCGGGTCCTTGTGTTCTGGTTGTTCTAAATATAGAAACATGGAATCCATATGTTTGGGCTGTTTTAGATTTATCAGCCTGCAAATGACTATCTGTTATTCCAGCAGAACAAGGGAAAATGTTTACATATGTAATCTATTGTTGTGATAAACGGCCTTACGACATAGTGTATACCATATAGTTTCTACATTTTTCTGTTGTCATGTTCTTCAGAAAAAAGACACAATTTGCATCAACGGCGACCCTGACAATATCAGACGTGTTTTGATAGTTATTTATCTATTCATTTATTTATGTATTTATATCTTTAACGCGGTTTTACGTCCACTATTACGGCCTCTCGACCTTTCAGGGAACGAGTTTTGATGGGCTGCCGTACACCATAGATAAAAGACCGGGAGCACGGAGTGTAACGCTATGGGACTATAAAAAGCCCCGCTTCCTTACACCAGTCAGACATATTTACCAGTAGCAGACATGGGGTTTGGTAAGTGAATTTAGAATATAGGTAATTTGAAAAAACATCTCAATAATACTTGATAAGTATAACATAATCTTTTCCACTTCTAGAAATAAATTTCAATACATTTGGTTCAACACTTCAAAAAGACATTTTATGATTTGAATCTTACTATCTTCCTGTAAGTAAGGGTAGTATATATATATATATCATACTTGAAATCATCATGAAGTTTAAATGTCGGAATGTGACGTCAAAAATCTGTAAGAAATATTTTTTCATAACTGATAGTTGTCTTTATACAAAATATATGTCGTTTTTACTTCTGAATGAAACGATTTATTTATTTATTTATTTATTTATTTATTTATTTATTTATTACATAAGACAGCAATTTTACATTTCAATATTATAGAGTCGTCCGGTAACTTATCATTAAAATATACTTTCTTGTCTCATTTAACTTGATGAAAGGAAGGCAATTCCGTCCGTAGCAACAGGCGTGATTAAATTTGTTTCGCAATTACTATAAAATAACTAAAATATTTTTTAAGTCATCTAAATAAAGCGGTGTTACAAACATCCATAAACATATAAAAAAAATATATACAGTGAAAAGGCAATTGAGGGATTTCAATCAACACATGTCACCTAATGAAACCGATTTTTAATGGAAATCGCGACTACCCTATTGAAAATCCGTATTTTCCGTGGATTTTATACAATAGAAAGGTCAAAGAAACTGGATAACTCAGTATATACATGTATTCGTGTACCGTTTCAATGATTTCTACGTTGTGTTACTAGAGACCCAGGCAGAGTCTGAGTTTACATTCAGAAAATCTTAAAATGGTGGGGTTTCTATTTTCTAGCGGGGATAAAAGGCGCTTTGCTCCAGTGATCCCTTCACACCATTCCCCATCTTTTCCTGTATTTTGCCCCTCGAATTTTATTATGCTTTATTGCGTTATATGAAAATCAAATTCCATCCCTTTCCGTTCAGAATTGTCAAAGTCTGCCTCTTTTGTACAGAAATGCTGCATGGTAAATCATGTCTATGTCTTTGATTTCAGTGAGTTTACATAGGTTTCTGATAGTGTTTGTGATTGCCAAAGGGAGTTTTGTTTCCGGCACATGCCTACACACAGATAACGTATGTGAGTTCAGCCTCGTTATAGAGAATACCTTAACGATGATGCGAGACAAAGACTTACTATTTCCGTGGAAAGGAAATATTTACCGATACAATGAAACGAACCCTTCAAAAGCTAAAAGTATGCCGCTGGAGGGAATTGTAACAGCCGACGGTCACGAAATTCCACGTGTGGTAACATTAGCCAATGGGAGCTTGCCTGGACCCCCATTAATTGTATACGAGGGACAGATGGTTGTTGTGAACGTTATAAATAAATTGTCCAGTACTGGTGTGACGATACACTGGCATGGTCTGCCACAGAGAGACACTCCCTGGATGGACGGGGTTGCTTATGTCACACAATGTCCTATCATGCCTGGACAAAGTTTCCGATACGAATTTAAAGCGACACCTAGGGGTACATTTTGGTATCATTCACATATAGGATCCCAACGCAGTAACGGTCTGTTTGGGGCGTTAATAATCCGACCACGGACACCTGTTATGATTCCGGAACATATTCTTACTATAACAGATTGGAACCATGACGACGACTCGGATCTAACTGAAATGAAGCAGTTTCATGGCGATTACGAAAAACGAAAACCCATACCATTCTCAAAATCGATTGATGGTTCCTTTTTCGGTCGTTTACACTTTCATTCGGGACTTATAAATGGCCGCGGTCGCTACTACAACCCGCTTACCAATGCTCATAACGAGGCTCCACTATCGGTTTTCGATGTAAAAGCATTGAACTTGTATAGATTCCGTATCATCAATACTGGTATGGTGTATCCCTTCCGGTTTTCGATCGACAGTCACACTCTTCTTGTCATAGCATCAGATGGCTATGACATTCAACCTGTAGATGTTGATGCTTTGATCGTATACCCGGGTGAGCGATATGATGTCTTACTGACCACGTCAAACGTGACGGAAAATTATTGGATTCGTGCCGCAACGTTGGAAGCCAACGTCAACCATAGAGCAGAAGCTATTTTACGATATGTTGGAGCGCCACATGATGCAGATCCGACTACAGTGACCAAGAACTGCTCCAGCTCCAGTCCTTGTAGAATTCTTAATTGTCCGGCAGTGAAAATGCCACCAAATTTGAACATGGAATGTATTACGTTCAATAGCATCAAGTCATTCAATCTCGCTTCCACGAGTGATCTAGTCTCCACGAGTGATCTAGTCTCCACGAGTGATCTTAGTTCTACAAGTCCATCGGTAAACGTAACGGAGTCACTATTGGAGCAAACTGATCCTTCGAATTCTACAAAAAGAGCTGGTGGTAATTTCAAGGAAGTTTTCCTCAATTTTGCTTTCCCGGGAACTTCTTGGAAACCTGGATCTGTAAACGGAAGGCGTTTTGAATTTCCAAGTGTTTCCGGTCTGACTCAGATGGACGAAATTGACCCTCGTCAGCTGTGTGAGAATGCCGATTGTGGACCCGACAAGGTCTGCAGCTGTTTTCACTCTCTAACACTGGATCAGGATAACATAGTGCAAATGGTTCTGTTAAATATGGGCAACGGGCGAGGTTGGGGTCATCCCATTCATATGCATGGGCATTCATTCCAAGTCCTGAAAACGGGATTCGCGGTTCATGATGAACATGGACAAATTTCTGCCGAAAACCCAGACATAACTTGCCTTGGACAAAAATTTGGAAATGACACTTTTTGTAATTCTGCAAAATGGACAAATTCTTCCTGGGAAAACGGAAATATTCCCGGTTTGGAACTTCAACGACCTCCGATAAAAGATACGATCATCGTGCCATCTGGTGGGTATGTTGTCATACGAATAAGAGCAGACAACCCTGGTTTATGGATAATGCACTGTCATGTTGAACTGCATAGCATTTACGGTATGGCATTGGTAATCAACGAATCTTACGCCGATGTTCCTCAAGCGCCACCTGGTTTCCCAGAATGCAGAAGTTTTTCATCTTCTGCACTGACTTCCGGCATTCGTCACAAAAGGTCGGCATCATATTTGATTTCTGACAACATGCGTCTGTCGGAACTGCAAAATACACTACCAGGTAAGTCTCAATTTAATTCTTTTTATTTGTGAAAAGAAATTTCCGTAGCCTGTTTGAAATTGATTTGAAGATCAAATAAACAAATTTCATTACAATCCCACTAATTCAATACTTTTACATGCAACACGCCACACATCATTTGTGACGTCATTGTAGAGAAAGCATGCGGCGGAAGTTACAAAGTAGTGGTACTTGACCGTTTTGTGTTACAGATGTGGTGGACAGACAGACGCTCGTGTGGACAGCCGTCGTTTTCGGTAGTATATGTCTATTCCAGTCTGTTATCTTAATTCTCATGTGCATGAGAGCAAATCCAAAGTCGATGAAAAAATGGACATGATATTTCACAACTTAATTCACATATCGGATCACGTCAGCGGTTATAATCATTTTCGTTTTTGCTATGTTTTTGTTATTTTTCTTAAATTCTAACAATAAAAAACATATTATTTTCAACAAGCCAGTCTGTTTTATGCATTTTGCAAACGAGGTTTGACAATCTTAAACGGTTTGGATATAAAACATATCCAAGATCTTTTTGAAAGATTTGAAATAAAAAGAAAAACGTGTAAAACAGTAGTTCATATTGGACTGTTTACACAACTCAAAATTATTCGGGACAAATTGTATTTAACAACTCTGTTTCATCAATGACGAGAACCTGGGCAGGCAACTGCTGTGACTTGGTAAATAACGCCAAATACTATTCATGCTATCTTTACTTCGTGGTTAAATGGACAAGACGCTGTAAAAACTTTTCAGTTTTCAATTTCCGATACAAACAATGCCATTTTTACAAAACGTTAAATAAATCCCCTATATCATCGTTCTAACATGTCTTCGTGTTTCAGCATTTGGCAATTCAGTTTACACTCGCCATACTGTTTAACGTAAATTAAATTTTTTATTGAATTCAAATAATCCAAACACTATAACCTTGAGGGGAGTAGATACGATACTTTTATGTTTATGTTGTTGTTGTTGTTGTTGTTGTTGTTGTTGTTGTTGTTGTTGTTGTTGTTGTTGTTGTTGTTGTTGTTGCTGTCGTCGTCGACGTTGTTACTGTCGTCGTCGTCGTTGTTGTTGTTGCTGTCATCGTCGTCGTTGTTATTGTTGCTGTCATCGTCGTTGTTTTGTTGTCATCGTCGTTGTTGTTTTGTTGTCGTCGTCGTTGTCGTCGTCGTCGTTTTCTGGATCCGTCTGTGCCTTAATGTAACAGGAGAACATTAAATGAAGCAAAACATAAAATCATTACCGTTGTTATGTGTATTAAACATTTAATACTTTACTATTACACATTGCGTACAATGACCATGAAGACTTACTGAACACTAAAGGTAACCAAACAGTCCGTTCAGGGACTCGATCCTCGATCGCGTTGACAGTAGACAGTAGAAGTAGGTGGTCCTGTATTGCAGTGGTGCCACACTCGTCTACTGTCAACGCGATCGAGGTTCGAGTCCGGCACCACTGCAATACAGGAGTACTATCCCTATTTGACAGCATGTGGGTTTCCTTGGTTTCGTATTTTGCCAACGTTGACCATGACCACAAAATATTTCCCTTTTTACGTGATACTATACAATCACTTCTTTGCTTGTCTGTCGGGTCTATCACTTCGTGAACAGGCGGGGTAAGCCTGCTGTCCAAATGATGACTGGTTTTCCTCATCATACATCAGCTTGTTTCTCATCAAAGTACAGCTAAAACTGTAGCAATGGATTGAAACAGCTTATTTCATATGAAAGTACAGCGTAACTGAAGCAAGGGCTAGAGTGCCTAACCCCATAAACAGTCAGTGTCATTTTGAGGCACAGTTTCCTTGCAGTACATGAAGGTAATTGCTACCTCACTGAACAACATACAGGACGCCCATCGCACGCCATCTAGAGCAATTAGTGTTTACTGTTTTGCCCATAGACATATCTACTTTGGCACAGACCGGTGGTCCATTTCTTCACTTCCTACGACATACAAACAGCTATGGGCAGTGAGCATTGAACCACGCACCTGGAACTTCACCTGGGGTTAGGCAGGTCAACGCAATGAGGTATAGCGCCCTCTAAAGTTGTATCAACAACAGTTAAAAATAACATGAAGAGGTTGTGTGTTGTTAGTGGAATTTTATTGCCGAACCAGCAGCATTTGATGATATATACCTTTATTTGTGCGTACAGAATGCATTTCATGTATACCAAAACATTGTTTAATATCATATCACAAAGGTAATCTCATTTTAAAAAATTTTTATGACTTTTTAAAAATAAAGAAAAAATGTATGACACAAACATCAAAGATCAACAAAAAAAAATCAAAACAATGAAATAATGAATCTAACAAAATGCAAAAGAATGAAATACTGTGATCATACAACACTTGTACTGCTATATCTTTGTGCTAATCAAAAATGGTAAGGAAAAAATATTTCAAATCCATAGATTATCTTCAGTTTTTTAGCACTTTTTACTTAAATGACAAAAACAAAATCTCCTTCCTGACAACATGTGATACTGATAACAGTATTTCTGTTGTCTTGAGCAAAACTAAATTAAGTCCATGCAGCAGGATGCCATCATGGGCAATAACAGCAGAACTTTGAAACTTTTTATTCTTGTCGGCTTTACTCATCAATTTGAATTCCCGATTGATTTAGGCAACGTTCTCCAATTTTGGTCATTTTGTTCTGTTTCACTTAAATGACCATAACTATGCAGTCATCATTTTGTAACTAAATATCAATTTACATTAATATATCCGTATACATAAATGAGTAGTTAACCAGAGGGGTGGGGTGGGGGGTGGGGGGGTGGGGTCATTAAAACTTAAAAAAGCTTTTCATTTACACTAATATAAAACATTATTATCCTATATTGTCTTACATCCAAACCTACTGGCCAAACTGGGGATTAATTCTTATATACTGTATTTATGTTACTATCCATGAAATAAAAATTAAATGAAAAAATGTCAATACTTTGCAAAGTTACTCTTAGCCAGATAAAATCTAGCTGGTTATATCTGAGTAGTTGTTGTTAGGTAGGATGTAAATAAAATGGCGATTATGACAGTATTGAAATGAAGAAAAAAAAATACTTGTGAGGTGAAAAAAGTTTCCTTTGTATTTACAACTTATCCAGTAATACCTTTGCATTAGTAAAAATCTAATGCACTAATGCTGATGTGGAGAAAATCTCATCAAGTGTTAAATATATAATTATACTTATGCACCATAACAAAACTTTGGCGGTCAACCATACTTTCCAACTACAATGTATATATATATGTAATCACCTGAAGATGGCCCCGAGGCCTGAAAACGTTAGTGATATATTTGTTTGTCATGTTAAGTGATTAATTTCTCTGTATATACGATACACAAAGTTTTTATCTTTTTTTTTTTTCTCATATAAAACGAGGGTGACCTGTGATTTAATCGACCTTCAAAATTATGTACATTATCATTGATTACACTTTGTATGATATCAAAGAGTGATACAAAGTGTAATGGGATCAGAGTCATATAAATGTTTAGCCCCTTTACTCACATAACATTGTGTCAACATAAAAAGCAAACATTTAAGTGATGCAATATTGTTAGATATTCTGATACAACATACTTTTGAGAGTATTTGAATAACACTGAACAGTCTTTGTTTGAAGTTCATGACACTATGAATGCAGCCTGTTAGATAAAAATTCCAAGAATCAGGAACTCACTTGACACTCATCATGAACTCTAAATAAAAAATTGTGTGCTATATTTACACGACTAACAGGACAACCTGAAAGCATCAATTGGTAGTGATGTGTAGCACTGCCTATGAAAACAAAATTAGATCAAATTTTATTTGTGTAGATAAAGGTAAATTTTGAGTGAAAATATCTCACACCAATTACACACCAGAAAAAAACTGTAATATAAAACATAATACTTGAAAAAAAACATATATCCTCTTTAATATACAATAAAAAAAGTGTAAACGTTTCATTTATGGAAAATCCATTAACCTTGATCTTATATTCGCTGAGTTTCATTAAGTTTCCTGTGATTGGAAAAAAATTAAATGGTATGTATAATATGAAATAATTAACAAGTTCAAATTCATAAGAAATAACTTATATGACGCTGTAATCAATGACGTCATATATATGACATTGACATGAAGAAATGGTATTAATGACCTAGGTTTCTCTCATGCTGTCATTACATCGTCAAAGTCAATATATTCTGTGTCATCAGATGCATCAGTACTGAAGTACCAAAATTTTACCCAAAGTAATTATGTCCAAAACTTTTATCTTTTCAGTCAATGTATATGTCTGTATTGCATTACAGAAAGATCTGTACTTTTGTAATTTACATTTAGGGTAAGTAAAATAAAAAGGGATGTTAGCAATTTAAAATGCTTGTCTGATCGTTTTAATTATTTCCCTCAAATTGATATCCACAGGAGAATTCCTAGCCAGCAGGAATGATTCATACACAAAAAATAAATACACTTTTTAAAAAAATTATTTTTACAATAATGTAAAAATAATTTTTTTAAAAAGTGTATTTAGAGTGTTTCTATCATTTGAAATGATTTTTACACTACACAAAAAATATATTAAAGCTTTCAAAATAACAAACTACTCAGGAAAAAAATAACATGCCCTTCAATAAGTAATGTCCATATCTCAAACACCAGTCTAACTACATTTTCAATTCCATATACGGAATGGCACATTGTTAAAACTTAAGATTTCAACTACGAATGAAATATAACGTTCAGCAATCAACAACATTCAACAGACATTTAACTGACTACCTTCCAAAAAAATACTAAACATGAAATACGATAAATTCCAGAAAGTAAGAATATTTTTCTTGCCGTTAATGACCTACAGTAATTTTACTGGTGCCAAGTAACTATCTTACCAGTTATAGGTAACTAACTTGAAAAAGATCTCTGTACATATGATTTTTGGAAAAGGAAAAAAGAAAACATTTTGTCCTTTATCATATCTTCTATATTTCTGAAGCATAAAATAAGACAACAAAACATTTTATTTTGTGAAAATTTAACTTCCTTATCTTATCATGCTGTATCACTTTTAATGACATGTTTTTTTAATTTTTTTTTGTTTTTTCTTTTTTTCACTTAAAAAATATTTTGGTCCCACAAACTACTGCTTTCTTCAAAAACACAGCAAGAGTATCATTAGCTAAAATTCTGTCAGATGATTATATACAAATTTTACCATCAACCATTTCATCTGCATTTATTATCTGCAAAATTAATCTTTTGAGCATTTAATTTGGACACAACACATCAGTTTTTGCCACTCTACGCACATATTTATGGTAAGTACATCAAATGAAAGTGTTACGCATCCCTGGAATGGAAAACTTCCCTGCCTATAAAAAAGAGCAAGAAAGATTCATCAAGACCTTAAACAGGACAGTAATTCCTACAATATAAAATCCTGATATGTTATCTTGTAATCTAATACTATCATATCATAATTCACACATTTGTGTTTTGTACAAACTGTTTCTTTCCAAGGGCTCTTTTTTTTTGCCATTTTTCAAAAATGGAATAAAATCAGAGAATATTGACCCCTAAAAATAGAACAAAATTGAAAGAGAAAACACATCTCCTTTTTTTTACTCTAAGATTTTGGTGAACTACAAAAAATCTAAAATTACAGAAAAATAAAGTAATTGATCAGGATTTGATTGAGCCTTTGATAAAAAGAATCTGCAAAATTGTTTCCATCACATTTCATGTTACAACAAGTGAACTATAGACGGCTCTTGATATATGAATTAAAATAATGGTAACAGTTAGAAATCTTCTTGACAATGGTATTGTATTTCAAGATACATATTTTTAATACTCAAAAATTGTGTGACCTTTTTTTTTCTTCCCTGAAATATTTGATATTATTTATTCTGAAAAATTCTTCAAGTTTTTTAAAATATTTTTTCTATCAATTCAAGGGTCTTCGCCTCCTAAGGAAATTAGACTTTTTCTTGCATCGAGCGTTCGAGATATTTTGACGACTTCTTGAGTGCTATCCATCGCTCTGGGTGTCGTTTGAAGTAAATGATAACGCCCACTACAATGATGACAAGTGCTACACAAGCTACAACAATACCTATGATTGGTCCATAGTTACTATGGGAACGAACAACAAACACGCCCCCTCTGTTAGATTGCATTGTCAACCTTGCACCATCGACATTTGCATCCACCTTGACCCATGTGCCGAGAGAGTCCTGAGATGATCGATAAGCCTCAGGGTTATAGGCATCCTCATCAATCATCATGGTGATTGTGATTTTCTGTGCATCGTCAGTTAGCTGAGATTCTGGGGACAGTAGCAAAAAGTCGCTTGCATATTCATCACCATACTGAAACAAAATACGGTCAGTTTTTAAGCTTATTTAAAGATTTATTATTTTATATATTGATAATGAGTCCAATTCCTTAACACAATAAATATGTCCCCGTCAAAAAGTAAAACGGTACAATACTAATTATTGGTTAATTATCCGTGTTCGTTTTATGCTTCACCTCATCACTAAAACGGCTTGTTTCAGTCCACTTTACTACTGTCAATCTCCAATGTTATGGCCTCATTGTACCACTGCATATTCCTACTATTACATGTCCAAATCATGGGTCTGCATGTTGATCCCCAATAACAAGACTGTTGAGTAAGTCGATACAGCCCTATAACACGTTGTCAAATAAGACAAGTTTCACTCCAGCTCTATCGCAACCTTCACTCACCTGCATAGAACGACCAATGCCACTCAGTTTATTGTCCCCTTGCGTCCTTGTCCATTCTGCCAGTGTCAATTTCTGTAGCCCTGTAAAAGCTCCTTGCTCAATGTTTACTGAAGCTTTTCTGTAAAGGAGAGAAATTTACATGTGATGAAGGTCGTATACTGGTAAGTCCATCTGCAGATCAAAAGAATTTTTTTTTTCTTTTTATAACAAATTTATTAGATGTCAACAAAAGCACGTATGTATACAAATATATGTCCTCATGCAAGAGGGCTCTCACTCAATGCACATATACAAATTGTACACGTACACAAAGCATTGGAAAAGATATCAGGCTCCACTAACAACCATGTTCCAAGTTCAATCTGTATATTCACAATACCATTTAAACTTCTAAAGCAGTATTTTTGTAGGGTATGTAGAAATTTTTACAGACCCTCCCTATGGGGAGACAGATCTGACTCTGTTAGTAGCGAGATATAAATGTAAATATCTTACCCTGTAGGGAGAGCAACCTGTCCTCCCGTCCAGCCAATGGAAGTGAAGCGCTGCGGAAAGGGGAAAACTGTGACCCTTCCCTTCTGGTCACGGTTGGAGAAGTCATTATTTCTGGTACACATGTAATGGTAAGTCCCTGTCTGACTGACTTTCCTCAGGCCCAAATCAAAGTATGGTCCTGCATCATCAAGTTGGGACAACTCTCCTCCAAATTGACCTATTGTATTTAAGGTAGAAAATTAAAAAACAAAAAACAAAAAAAACATGTGATACGTGCAATGAAATAACAGAATCAAAATTTACACTTTTAAATGCATGTAGATGAGAGAAACAGAATGTTCAAGAGCAAGCATAAACTGAAACATCACATGAGAATATAAGATAAAATTTATTCTATCTATAGTAATGACGACCTTGAACTTGGTATATGTGGTTAAAAATCAAATTTTTGTTCAGCTGCCTTTCATCACTCCAAGAAACATGAAAATACATCAAATATTTCTAACATAAAAGTACAAAGTTGCCTACCTGGAGAATTCATGGCAAGATGACCTAAATCAGTTCTGGACATTCCAAGGAAACTAGAGTTTGACAGATGGTCAGGGTAATTGTTGCCATAGTGACCAAACACACTTCCTGGGCCAAACTGTACCCCACTGCCTTCTGGGAAATTTCTGGGTCTCAGCTGAAGAATGTTGTTCCTGTCTGTGCGTGCCAGGCCATTTCCTTCATTGTTGGCATTGTTTGTGTTGGACCCTGTCCACCTGAAATGTAAATACAAACACTCAAAAAATACTTTATACATAGTAGGAGTGTATTTTACACCAGTTCAAATTGTTTTAGGGGCTTAAACATTTCTGATTATCTAAAAGAAGAACAATCGCTATACTAAGGATAGGCTCACTCTCAAAACCACCAGCATATACTCAACATGCATGTCAAGAGTCAGCACAACTTTGTTGGATGCAGCTGTATAATTTATATTTGCTACAAATTTACACCAACAACTATAATATTTAAGATCAATTGTCAAAAGGCAGAAATGTTTAAAGTTCAAATTATTTGCAATGTACTCTACTAATCATATACTTATTGTTCATAAACAAGGTCTTCTGTAGAGAGCTATAGGTCAGAGGTTATATCATACACAAATCATTGTAATATGTACATTTCCTGTAGAGAGCTATAGGTCAGAGGTTATATCATACACAAATCATTGTAATATGTACATTTCCTGTAGAGAGCTGTAGGTCAGAGGTTATATCATACACAATCATTGTAATATGTACATTTCCTGTAGAGAGCTATAGGTCAGAGGTTATATCATACAAAATCATTGTAATATGTACATTTCCTGTAGAGAGCTGTAGGTCAGAGGTTATATCATACACAATCATTGTAATATGTACATTTCCTGTAGAGAGCTATAGGTCAGAGGTTATATCATACACAATCATTGTAATATGTACATTTCCTGTAGAGAGCTGTAGGTCAGAGGTTATATCATACACAATCATTGTAATATGTACATTTCCTGTAGAGAGCTGTAGGTCGTAGGTTACATCATACACAATCCTTGTAATATATGCAGCATCCCTATCAGGGAACTGCAGGTCATAGGTTATATGACATTTGCTCACTGTATTTGTATGGTATTCCCAACAGAGCACTTAAAGTCAATGGACATATCATCAGTACTTACTGTATATGTACAGCCTCCCCTACAGAAAGCTGCAGGTCATTGGGTACAAAGTCATACTCCACAGAAGGGTACACCTGTACAATGTTCCCTCTCTTTCCTCTCACATTAAGGTTGTGTATCTGGGTATTCTCGTATCCTGCTGGCTTCTTCCGTATAGCAAAGGAATGGGATCTGAAATAATGTCATTCAATATTCCAAGATTATCTCCCTTTCCTCTGTTCTTACTCTGAATTATATGAAATTGAAAATAGCAATAATACTCTTTAGTTATTAAATCCAATATGGTAACCTGTCAACTATCTTTTTTTCTGATTCAGTCCCAAAAATCTAAAGAAAAAAAAAAGAGACCAAGGGGAACCTATACATAAAATCTGAGAAAGAGCTATCCAGCCCTTGTCCAGAAATAGGTGTAAGGAGGATTGTTCACGGACAGACATCAGTTGGGAGGACAATGGACAACAGCCCACAGACAGTGCTATATGAAGAGCCCAGCATCTGCAGGAAGGTAAAGACCTGAAATTGGCTATGACAAGAGTAACTCCTATATATGTTAAATAATCCTATAACATGAATCACAGTCTTTTTTCTGCAGGTCTATGAAGAACACTTACAATAACAGCCTCTGACGATGAATTAAATATATTTGAACTTGACATGAGCTTAAAGAGTTCTTTACCTGTCCTGAAAGGTCCGCCCATACTGTGCAGTGTTGATGGCTAACTCCAGAGTGAATTCTGCATCATCAAACAACTTCACATCGGGATATTCCTCGAACACATAGCCTCTCTGTTCTGCTGCTGTTTGACTGGGGAAGCCATATGTAGGGGCCAGATTGGGCGAGTTATTTGCTGAGGTTGTGTTCCAGGGGTCATAATCATTAGTGGATATGTTGTATCTGTGGATCAAATAAAATGTTTTGAATAATATGCAAACAAGTTACCAAAAACTGAGTTAAAATTTAACCTGAACTATTAGTTACAAATTTACATTTGTTCTTGTTAGGAGACTATCTCCTCTTTAAAGAACATCTCTGCTGCGATAACATCCCTGTAAAGAAACCTCCTCTGTTAAGAGAGTCAAGAAAACCTGTAGAGAGACCTCCTCTACAAATAACATAAAGGACAGACAAACCTCTGTTCAAAGACAACAAAACAAAGACCTCTTCTCTTAGGTGACTACCTCTGGTAAGAGACCACCTATGTTACATGATCTCGGTTAAGTAATCCTTCTGTGAAGTGACCACATCCATTAAGAACTAACCTTATTTGAGATACAATTTATGTTAAGTGTCTACCTATGTACAGAGACTCCCTCTGTCAATTGACAAACACCATTAATATACCACCTCTGTTAAGAGACCACCTCTGTTAAGAGACCATCTTTGTTTGATGGCCTCCTTTGAAGAGTAATACCTCCATTTAGACTTCCTCAGCTGAGAGACCACCTCAGTTGAGAGATTTCTTTAGAGATTGTGTTCTTTTGACAGTATTCACTTAAATGTCATTACATACTTACTTTATTCAAGTTTTTTTGTGCCTTTTTGAAGAATAGATAAATAAGAATTTTGTGAATCCTAGCTTAGGCATTATCAGGCATTCCCCACTCATCAAAGACTTGTGTAAATAAAACACTAGACACCAGTACCTTTTGTTTGGAGGATTTGAAATATCAGTCTGAATTGTTTTACAAGAAATGAACAGGTCTGTTCATAAACTCTGTTGATAAATCTGTAAATTTAAGTATGTGATTCAATTTTAATGATTTGAGGTTGTGCCGTCTGAAATTATTTGCAGAAATGTTTTTACCTCATTCTTACGACACAGTTTTCATGGCTGATGTCTGGAATGGTCCAGTTGTAGACATTGGGATGACCACCGAGGCCGTTACCAAGATGGTTGTCACGAGTGAATTCTGTCTCACGACAATCAGGGGGAGATAACCCATGAGACGGAAATTCTCTCCAAATTCCTCTCACACCTCCATCAGGGTCATTATTAGGGTAAGTGAACTCCTACAAATAAACAAGGAATGAAAGAGAAGGCAACAAATATTAGATCTATTTAAATGTATCATCCAGAAAATTAATCAATTTTGTAATCAGACATCATATTTTTTATACATTAATAATGTGTAAAGTATCTCTATTTTGGAAAGAATTACTTACCTCACAATCCTGTTTGTTATTGGGAATGGTGAAACCTTTGTAATTTTCGAGAATCATATCCCGAGGGAGATAGCAACCCCAACGTGACTTGGTGTTTTCACTTTCCCTTTGGTAGTAAGCGCATCGGCTGACGTCATTGGTCATCACAACTATGTCCTAAAAAGATTCCACAGATATGTATCAGTTACATCAGATGACACAATTATAAATCTGCTTGTTATTTCGTTTTATAGTAAGTGGACCTATTGGTGTGACCTTTGACCTTATCATTCTCACTATTTATCTATATCGGGACTTTTGTATCTTGAAAAGTCAAATTGTTGTTCAATTAATAAAAAAAATCAGCAAAATATTTACACTAACTTCCTTCACATTGCAATAAAAAAATTCATTCATTTGTAATTTTTGCGCTTTTTTCTCACAATGTATTTTAACTTAAAAAGAACCTTTTTACTTGGTATTTTCCGAAGAATCACTTACGCAATTTTCTCAACAGTAACATCAAAGAACAATAAATTTCCGATGTGCAATTTTTATCACTAATATTATTCACCTGCCTGATAAAGACTTTTGATTAATTTATGATAAGATAATATAGATTCTGATTGTCTTTACAAAATCCAATGATGTGGTATACCTTCCACGGTGATGGGTGCCAGTACGGGTAATAGTCCCGTTCCTCAGGACACTCGTAGCCACGGCGATTGCCATTTGGATTCTGACGTGTGTTCACAGCATACTGTCTATTACGCTGATTCAAATTCTAAAACAGAAAAAGGTCCCATATTTTTATGACCACTGATTCAAAGTAAATTTTAAATATGAAGGATATTTAAATGTCTTATACACCATTGGAAACAGCTACCACAGACAGGAGTGACATCTCTCATACAGTCATAATTGCCAACTACCCGTTCATGTCATTGACAACAAGGTTATCGCAGCTATAAAATCACATTTCTCCTTTTTTTTTAATTCTATATTTTGCTTATTGCTGCTTAGAAATTTGTCATAATTAACCAACAGATATTTTTAATTTTCTTAATGGTTACCTGGTCAGCAGTGAAGAGTCCTTTGTTGCGCTGCCTCATACGACAGTTGCTATAGTGATGAATATCCTCGTTCATGCCGTACTCCTTATCTGTGTTACAGTCGAAGTTTTCACATTCATTTTGATTGTTAGCCTCCGGAATGGTCCTTCAAATAAACCAAGATGTAGAATTTTATTTTTTCTTTATTTAGTAAAGTCTTATAGATATTTTTACTTTTAAGTCTAATTCATGTCTGCCCTAACTGTAAATGTATACTCCAGATTTACAACCCCTTCTACACAAACCACCAGTGTTAGTTTACTACGCCTAGGTAATATGATTACACTAAAACCTACCTGTCTATGGAACTTTAAGTTGCTCCATATCATATTACAGTAACAACATTCAAAATGAACCTGTTTTAGTTAAGTTATTATCATAAAAATTTTAATCTGTTTAAAAGATCCTGCGACTAATTATTCAAAGGGGCATAACTCTTATCATCATGTCAGGAACAGATACTGAAAACACCAATCAGATTTTAGTGAACTGACTAAAATCGGAGTAATACACAACTACACCAGCTGTACTTACTTTGTGGTGGCACCATCCCTGACGAGGTTGTGACACATGTATTGAATCACCAACTCACAGTGGCAGTTAGGACTGTCACAGGAATGCTGGTTTGTCCTAAATGTATAATTTTTTTTGTATCATTCTTTCTTTAAAATTTTGTAAATGTTACAAAAAACAATATTTGTACATAAACATCGTAATGTGTGATTGATTTTATTCTTATACTACAAAATTATTCTATCACTTTCCTTTACTTTTCTAACTTTCTCTTCTTTTATTCTCCATAAATGACAATTATATAATTACGAACATTTTAAAGCCTACTATTTTGGTTTATAGACAGGTCAACATATCTTTGATAGCATCAAATAACTGTTCATTAATTGATTATTTAAATCACATTAATGTTATCATTCTATATGAAAACACTAACATTGAACTTGTGATAATAATTTCAACTTACCATTCAATCTGGAGAATGGACCCAGAATAATAATACAGAGAACCTACATTGTAACCACCCCGATTATTGTTCTGGGAGTCAAACATTCTGAAACCATAAACAAAAATTTAACTGTCACTCATCCTATTTACAATATCAATCCATCCTACCATAAGTCCACAAAATCAACACACCTCTGATTCAAATCAGGTGTGGCATTATTACCAGACAATGGTGAAGTATTCATAAACATTCTTATTGAAAAGCAATAATATGAGCGGGCTTATCAGCAGATATATATAGCTGCAAGCCTTCAATCCTATATTAAGCAGTAATAACTTCTAGAAAACTTTCGCATTCAAAATTTGGTATCCTTAAGGGAGAGAGCGATGTTTAATAATAGTATTTCCGGAGGTAATTAGGGACGACACATCTCTCTCACATGAAATAAAACACCTGTTAATTTAATTCAATTGGTATCAATTAAATATTTCACATTTTTAGATAAAATACTTGCAGGCAAAACACGATGAGAAATTCTGAAGAAATAGTTTTTTGCTCCCAATATTAACACAAGAGATAGGTATGACAAATAGCTTGCCTATCTTATATATTTTACTATGAAAATGATGTATTAAAATAGATGATTTCCCCATGCAGGTAAACTCGCTCATGTGTATCTGTATTTACAGCATAAAGGCAACAGACAATGACATTAGTTAGAGCTGTCTCTTGTTTTAAATCACAGTGCTGATGATAATTATACAAACATTAACATCACAAACAACAATGCTGACAGTTATAAATGTACATGCTTCGCATCGGCGATTTTTTCACCCGTTTTGCCGTCAAAAGCAGGAAGTTTCCTCTCAATGAAAAGTGTGTTTTCATGAAATTAAGAAAACAAATTAAAATCTTCCCAACATTTCAGAAAATATTGCAGTATTTTTCAAAATATTCCTGATGTGGAGTGATGACAGAGCTTTCCATAGCATAATTATCTTTAGTTATGAAAAGAATTTCACTTTCAATGTGAACTCATCCAATTAATCAGAATTTTAGACTAAAATTGCCCATGTAAATACAACATATCTAAAGTATCATCTTTGTGTGAACAATGAATGAAATACTTCACAATAAATCAGAGAAACCATTGTTAACACAGTACGACACACCAGTCACAGGAACTATTGTGAACACAGTACGACACATCATTCACAGGAACTATTGTTAACACAGTACGACAGATCAGTCACAGGAACTATTGTGAACACAGTACGACACATCAGTCACAGGAACTATTGTGAACACAGTACGACACATCAGTCACAGGAACTATTGTGAACACAGTACGACACATCAGTCACAGGAACTATTGTGAACACAGTACGACACATCAGTCAGAGAAACTATTGTTAACACAGTGTGACACATCAGTCACAGGAACTATTGTAAACACAGTACGACACATCAGTCACAGGAACTATTGTGAACACAGTACGACACATCAGTCACAGGAACTATTGTGAACACAGTATGACACATCAGTCACAGGAACTATTGTGAACACAGTACGACACATCAGTCACAGGAACTATTGTGAACACAGTACGACACATCAGTCACAGGAACTATTGTGAACACAGTGTGACACATCAGTCACAGGAACTATTGTGAACACAGTACGACACACCAGTCACAGGAACTATTGTGAACACAGTGTGACACATCAGTCACAGGAACTATTGTGAACACAGTACGACACATCAGTCACAGGAACTATTGTGAACACAGTACAACACATCAGTCAAAGGAACTAAAGAGAATCTAATTCATATTGATGTTTTTCTAGCTACAAGCCTTTTATCCAGTATAATACAAACGCACAAGTAACACAAACATCAGAAAATAATTTTGATAATGAATCTACTTGCATTCCCATTTTTCTTTCACAAAGCTTTCACAAGTGACCTGTGGAATGTCAAACACTTCAATTTCAATACACTTTTTGCTAATACATTTTAAGTTGCCTATAATTTATGATGTAAATTATCCAATGTATCATAATAATTCATGATACTAAATAGCCTCTGGATATTTAAAGTATCTCCACGGAGAACATAATATACCTATTCGTTGATAAACTGATGCCACATTATTACATATCTATGACGTACCTGTTATTGTTTGCTCTGTTCCGTGTTTCTTCATCGAGTCTATTGTTACTTCCCCTGAAAAATTAAAAAAAAAAAAGCATATCAGCAGCGAAACAGTAAAAAGTTATTTTCCCTGAAATAAATAAAAATAAAAACAAAAACATACAGACGAAATTTCGTCTGAAAAAGCAAGTAACTTTCATCTGAAAATACTCAAATAAATACAGTTCATCAGATAGCATTACCTCCTCTGACAGACATGTGTATTTATCAAAACAAATAAAATATGCAAAATATGCATAACAGAAATGAATTACTTCCTCTGAATTACCAGAACCAAAACCAAAAATGAAAAAAATAAAAATTACTAAAAAATATCAATCACAAGAATATAACCATAACGTATGAGATTACCCTCCGTACCCTGCTGTTTAAAAGAATGACACAAAATCATATGTCAATATTACTAAAACAGGTGTTAATTCCATTCCACCACTGTTAACAATATTGTAATGTAGATCATCTTTAAAAGCTGATATTTTTGAGGATGGTTGGGCATCATTCGCAAATGACTACAAAATCAGCAACTTTGTTACATAATTAATTATGGGATATATAAATATGAGAATCACTAATTAAAAAAACTTTGTCAATGACAAATGCTATTTTTGACAGACAACAGAAAAAAAAGAAATTTCTATTTGTTATTTTAAGAGAACTTGTGTGGAAAAACTAAACTTTGTGGTTTGGCCTATCTGTTTCCATGTCAACAGAAAAATATTTAAATGGAGAACTTCCCAAGGGCAAAAGACATTACTTCAGTACTAAATTAATAACTGTGCAAAGTTTTGAGTAATCATCTTGAACAGTCTCAGAGCAATGGTCCAGAAAAGACCTTGCACGGACGGATGCATGGACGGACAGAGCAAAATTTGATATCCTACAGGGAGATAAAAGGTTTGGAAATTGCATATATACAAAATCATATCTGCTGCTGAAAAATAACTTCTTTTTTTTTAATACAATTTTCAGTAGTTTTGAAGTTATTATTCAGATTAGCTTGCAGAAAACTGGAGTTCATTAGAATTCATCAAAGGAAGTCAGGCTATAGTAGCGTTTGTACAGAGAAAACTGGAATGGATGAAAGGTCAAATCCTAAAAATTTACTGAAGTGTCTTGAATTTGAAGGTAAAGTTTGGCCAACAAGTTAAGCGGAATGTCAAAAATAAAAACCAGATTGTGAATGATTAATGAAAAGTGAAAACCATTAGATATGAAAATCTCATTTCATCAAAAAATAGAAACAAGTGTCAAGCAAACCTTCAGACATTATTAGAAACTCTGACTAATCCTTCACAAAGAAGTGTAATTATAACCGTCTTGTGTATACTGACATTCTGTCTAATGTGACACAGACACCTTGTGTATACTGACATTCTGTCTAATGTTACACAGACACCTTGTGTATACTGACATTCTGTCTAATGTTACACAGACACCTTGTGTATACTGACATTCTGTCTAATGTTACACAGACACCTTGTGTATACTGACATTCTGTCTAATGTTACACAGACACCTTGTGTATACTGACATTCTGTCTAATGTTACACAGACACCTTGTGTATACTGACATTCTGTCTAATGTTACACAGACACACCTTGTGTATACTGACATTCTGTCTAATGTGACACAGACACACCTTGTGTATACTGACATTCTGTCTAATGTGACACAGACACACCTTGTGTATACTGACATTCTGTCTAATGTTACACAGACACCTTGTGTATACTGACATTCTGTCTAATGTGACACAGACACCTTGTGTATACTGACATTCTGTCTAATGTTACACAGACACCTTGTGTATACTGACATTCTGTCTAATGTTACACAGACACCTTGTGTATAAGGACATTCTGTCTAATGTTACACAGACACCTTGTGTATACTGACATTCTGTCTAATGTTACACAGACACCTTGTGTATACTGACATTCTGTCTAATGTTACACAGACACCTTGTGTATACTGACATTCTGTCTAATGTTACACAGACACCTTGTGTATACTGACATTCTGTCTAATGTGACACAGACACCTTGTGTATACTGACATTCTGTCTAATGTGACACAGACACCTTGTGTATACTGACATTCTGTCTAATGTGACACAGACACCTTGTGTATACTGACATTCTGTCTAATGTTACACAGACACCTTGTGTATACTGACATTCTGTCTAATGTGACACAGACACCTTGTGTATACTGACAATGTTACCTTGTGTACATTCTGTCTAATGTGACACAGACACCTTGTGTATACTGACATTCTGTCTAATGTTACACACACACCTTGTGTATACTGACATTCTGTCTAATGTGACACAGACACCTTGTGTATACTGACATTCTGTCTAATGTGACACAGACACCTTGTGTATACTGACATTCTGTCTAATGTGACACAGACACCTTGTGTATAAGGACATTCTGTCTAATGTGACACACACACCTTGTGTATACTGACATTCTGTCTAATGTGACACACACACCTTGTGTATATGGACTTTCTGACTAATGTATTAGTAAGCATCATTCTATCAATAAACAACTTCATTCATTTCACACAACTATAGAGCGAAACATCTGAGAAATACAAAACCTGAGAAAATTGCAATGTAGGTCATGAAACTTCATATTGTGTGACTCCATCACAATGTAAACTGCTTCATCATGACTGAACACACCTTTAATTACAGGTATGTAGCTATTTATAGATGGTTTCAATTTCTTTATATAGTTGACTTAAGTTTCTTTAACAATGGAACTCATGATAGATTAACCACCTTTGTCCCAGTGGTATTCAGAAATTACCATGCAATATTACTGTAAACTCTGAAAATATGACATACTTGTATAATATAACATACATCAAGGATATGAGAAATATTTAGTGTGTAGTCACATGAAAGCAACTTAAATTCCTTACCCACCGATCCATATTTTATACAAAGTGTACAGAGTATGGATTAGGTCATTGGTGTCAAGTGGCAATGTGTGAAGAGTCAATGGTCACTTTGACGACGATGGTCATTGATTGACAATCCTAAATTTGTCATAATGTTCATTTCAGTTCATTTCAAGCAACAAATTGCAATTAGCATACAATAGAAAAGATGACTGCTGTTAGAATTGATGTAGAAATGAACAAAACAATTGAAACTTTATGTTTCTCATTGACGGACTTTCTTAAGAAAATGTCAACCTCTTTTTCACAACCAGAACAAAACATTTTTCTAAACTTGCAGGAAAAACAGGGAACTCAAGTGGTGAGACAAAAGACGCACCTCATTTTAACATTTGATCTGGAACTTATAACTATAGTACTCTACACTACCACATCTTCAAAATCAAATACTGTTTATCCTTTTTGTTGTTAACTGAGAGAAGACTTACCTGAGGCCATTCTATAATGTACTCTTCATCAGATGTCCCCTATTAAGTGTCATTACAGGTCAGAGGTCAATGATATATCACTGTGGAAGGTACTTCCTTAATCAATGACTCTACAATTACAGGTCATTTCCTCTCCTTAATACACATGACACACTTAGGCTGGAACCTTGACCCTCCCTAAGACCATAGGGACCTGACTTGTCTGTCTATACACAAATAGTGGGAGTGTTCAGATATTTAGACAAGTGTGGTGCCTGTGCTCAGACAAGTCAGACACATTCTCATCAAACATTTCTAAATCTCAGTCCAAAATTTATGTAATAGTACCAAAACAGCAAGTTAAATTTGTGTTGTCTCATATTAATAATGAAGGATAAAAAGTACCTTGGACGAAAGATGACTGGTATCTGAGATAGAGGAGAATGGGTAGATGAAATCGGGATGGAGGTTGGTGGGTACCTGGGAAGGAGGAGTCAGAGCAGATGAACTAGGCTGAAGGACAATAGGTGACCTGGGATGGAGGAGGGAGGGGGGCAGGTAACCTCGCTTAGAAGAAGAGAGTAGGTGACTGACCTTGGAATAGAGGAGGACAAGTGACCTAAGATGGAAGAGAGCAGGTAATTGTAAACCTGCAATCGAGGAGGGCAGGTACTGTGGATGGAGGAGGAAGGGTACCTGAGAGAGAGGAAGTCAGATGACTGTGATTCTGGAATGAAGAAGGACAGGAACACTGACTTGGAGAAAGTGGGTACCTTACGATGAAGAGGAGAGATACCTGGGATGGAAAGTTTGATATGCAAATACATGGGATGGAAGATATAGCCCATGGTATTTCAGATGAAGAATGGAAAGTTCATATGTATATATACTTATGATAAAGAATGGGAAAAGCAAATACCAGGTGTTGAAAGGGTAGTTGTTTGGAATGAAGACGAAAGATACCTTGGATTGAGAATTTGATAATAGTTTATAGGGATGTACATACTTAGAAAAGTGTTCAGTGCATTCTTCATAACTGCCCAAAAATTGAGAAACTGGAAAAAAAAATCCATGCACATTGTGTAGGTATTAAGTAAAGAAAGTCGAAACATTGTTCAACTTTTACCATGATCTATACACGTACAGAAGTATCTTAATCCTCTTATAGATGTATTGCGGTTATTTATTAGTCTGTCATTCAACGTCACAGCCAATATTGTGCTGGCCATAACAATACGATCGATATCAACGACCGAATCTCTATTATATACACTACTGGGCTTCACATTGTATTACCTGTGTAAGCCTGTGCAGGCTTCTGTCATAATCTAACGACGTGATTCAAGCCTTACATGTTGATAAATCTAAAGTCGTCGTCTATGTGTTATCGGGGAGTAATTACAGAAACAATTGAAATTGATAGTATACAGAAATACAGTGATTGATATAATTACTTACCTTGGATTGTGTAAATATATATCACAACTCACGGCTGTTATTAGTGACAGAAGAAGAGTGAAAACGCCGGCAGACATCTTTACAAAATGACACCACCAATTCATAATAAAAGTTCAAACCGGACACCACATACATGTATACACATTTGATTCCAAATAAGGTAGTAAGCACAACAATAGACGGTGAGATAACTTGACCCGCTGATTCGCTTCAAGCACATGATCATGACCCTACTTCCTTATCGCGACAAACACCTGTTACAGCTCCGAGATAAAAACATAGTTCTGCTTAAAATAATCATAGAACTTAATTTAATTGCTTTAGTTTTTTTACGTATTTATCATATGAAAATATTATTTAATTCTTTGACTTATAGACATAAATAAAACTTATACATTTCCACTTGTTCACAGAAAGATGGCTAGCGTAGTGATACTTAACCAGAAACATTTGTAATAAGTCATAGGTCATGAAAACAAAGTCTACTTTCACTTCATCAAAAAACGTATTATTTATTTAGATTTTCGACAAACCAATGAAAGACTTAATATAAATATATACATAATGTATTTTTGACGCGGTCCCATAGTAATACATATCACCATGATTCTATAAGTATCACTCTTCATCAATATGTGCAATATATCCCAAAAACACGACAACGTTGAGTCATTGTCTATTTTTGTCAGGTTGGTATAGTTTTCCTCAAGCGTGACGATTGATAGTGACAACTTTCTATTACGTTGTATTGTTCTTCTGTGCGTGAAAAAAAGTACGCGCATGTAGATATTTCAATTAATGGACGTAATGTTTGAGAAATACTTCGGAAATATTGAAGTTATTTCAATAACAACCTGCTATCTTCGTCTACAGAAAACAAGATTGATGAACAGAGTTAAATACATCATGTATATTATTTGTACATGTGAACATTGTTATTATTTGTCTGGAATCAAATTGTGTTTACATTTAATGCTTATAGCTGTAAGAAGTACTTCTAGGCGCTGGTGCCGGGACGGTGTGCATTGTGGTTGTTGCTTCAGGTACAACTAATGAGCTGTTTCGGTAGTAAAGATGATGAAATATTAAAGATTATAGTCTACACTCAATAGCTGTACCTTTCCTACAGAGATCAAAAGTTATAGGATTTCTACTAATACCATGTTGGTGGAGTAACTCGGAGTATAATACAATTACACACTTTTATCTTGGAATTCTCTCCACTGATCGGTGTCAGATATCATGGACACGCATATATCTTACCATTTTACAGTCGCATTAGTCTCACAAATTAAAATATTCAACGTGAATCTATATGAAGTTTGTACAGGAACGTATAATACTATATCATACGTTCTTGGTTTATATATACATTTTATTTAACACGAGCAGTTTGGAAGATATAGAACTGTTTTCATTTCTGATGTTGATGACTGTACAGAGAAGAGGTTTTAAATATCGACGCCTTCTATGTTCTCATACTTACGTCGTTACATCGTTTGTAAGCCAGACTACCGGAGTGCCTCACGAGCCAGGTGAGTAGATAAATGCGAACTTAATTATTTATTTATTTATTTATTAAACAGGTTTTACTTCCACTCTTTCAACCTTTCGGCGTTTCAGTGGATGAGCTTTCGTGGTTTTGAACGTCGCTTCTTATAAAGTAGTTAGGTTGAATTCGTCCTGAAAAATCTATCCTTTACACTAGTGCCGAATTTCACTCTCGGGAATTCTTTGTGCAAATCTTAATACATCATTGAAACATCAATATTAGGCCTGCTGTTGATACTAATGGAAAAGACAATTCACGTGACATGATTCGATGATGGGTAAATAAGATAATCCCGTTTGTGACGTCACATTTTTGTGGTTTAGCCTGTTTAGCACGTAACTTCTTGTGTTAAAGTTCATACTAACACTGAGGATGTTAGCGTTTTCTTGATCTATTTGGTAGTGGAGAGCGCGAGTCCACGAGGTCCTGCGGTACAACTCAGCATAATATTTCACGGTAAGATTGTCATAGGTTGGGCAATGTCTCCGTTGATCAGCGGACGTCATGTTTATATTGTACTATCAGTTATGTGATCTAATATACAAACATCGGCTCTATTTATAGTTTTGAAACATTTTCTGGTTAGTGTAAGGCTCGAGACTTGATATGTCCTAAGAATGTACCATTATTTTACCCCAATGCAACTTGAGAAAGTATTTTTTTTGTCCTTCTAAAGTATAAAAAAAACCTTAGGAAATCTAGCCAATCACAGCACCGCTACATCAAAAGAATAGTTATCTTTCACATACTTACAATGTTATTAGTGTAATAACGATCATTACTCTCTATATTTTGTATATAACACGTGTGTGATATCGTTGATTTCACCAAGCGTTCAAATGGAACATGTTGTTCAACTATGGAATAGAGACGTCGGCCGTGCTGACCAAAGAGTTTCCTTTATACTAACTGACCTGGCATGAAAGTTTCGCCAAAAGTTTGAACGAAAACAAACGGTGTTGTTCCCAATGTACATCCAGCGACAGAGTGTTCACTGCTACCAAACTGTTCTTCGCTAGGTAGATAGTCCATTACCAGATCAACTACGGTAACCCTTCCCTCGCTAGGTAGATAGTCCATTTTCACATCAACTACGGTAACCCTTCCCTCGCTAGGTAGATAGTCCATTACCAGATCAACTACGGTACCCCTTCCCTCGCTAGGTAGATAGTCCATTACCAGATCAACTACGGTACCCCTTCCCTCGCTAGGTAGATAGTCCATTTTCACATCAACTACGGTAACCCTCCCCTCGCTAGGTAGATAGTCCATTTTCACATCAACTACGGTAACCCTCCCCTCACTAGGTAGATAGTCCATTATCACATCAACTACGGTACCCCTTCCCTCGCTAGGTAGATAGTCCATTTTCACATCAACTACGGTAACCCTTCCCTCGCTAGGTAGATAGTCCATTATCACATCAACTACGGTACCCCTTCCCTCGCTAGGTAGATAGTCCATTTTCACATCAACTACGGTACCCCTTCCCTCGCTAGGTAGATAGTCCATTTTCACATCAACTACGGTAACCCTTCCCTCGCTAGGTAGATAGTCCATTTTCACATCAACTACGGTAACCCTCCCCTCGCTAGGTAGATAGTGCATTTTCACATCAACTACGGTAACCCTTCCCTCGCTAGGTAGATAGTCCATTATCACATTAACTACGGTACCCCTTCCCTCGCTAGGTAGATAGTCCATTTTCACATCAACTACGGTAACCCTTCCCTCGCTAGGTAGATAGTCCATTATCACATCAACTACGGTACCCCTTCCCTCGCTAGGTAGATAGTGCATTATCACATCAACTACGGTACCCTTTCCCTCGCGAGGTAGATAGTGCATTATCACATCAACTACGGTACCCCATCCCTCGCGAGGTAGATAGTGCATTATCACATCAACTACGGTACCCCATCCCTCACTAGGTAGATAGTCCATTATCACATCAACTACGGTACCCCATCCCTCGCTAGGTAGATAGTCCATTATCACATCAACTACGGTACCCCTTCCCCCGCTAGGTAGATAGTCCATTTTCACATCAACTACGGTACCCCTTTCCTCGCTAGGTAGATAGTCCATTATCACATCAACTACGATAACCCATCCCTCACTGGGTAGATAGTCCATTATCACATCAACTACGGTACCCCTTCCCTCGCTAGGTAGATAGCCCATTTTCACGTCAACTACGGTAACCCATCCCTCACTAGGTAGATAGTCCATTATCACATCAATCACAGATACCCTTTCCTCGCGAGGTAGGTAGTCCACTATAACATCAACTACGGTATCCCCTTCCCTCGCGAGGTAGATAGTCGATTATCAGATCAACTACGGTACAACTTTCCTCGCGAGGTAGGTAGTCCATTATCACATCAACATCCTCACTAGGTAAGCCCATTATCAGATCAACTACGGTACCACTTCATTTGCCGGGTAGGCCGTTCAATATAAACTCAGCTACTGATATCCCTTCGTTTGCCGGGTAGGCCGTTCAATATAAACTCTGCTACTGATATCCCTTCACTTGCCGGGTAGCTTGTCCAATGCAAGATCAGCTACTGATATCCCTTCATTTGCCGGGTAGGCCGTCCAATATAAACTCTGCTACTGATATCCCTTCATTTGCCGAGTAGGTAGTCCAATATAAACTCTGCTACTGATATCCCTTCATTTGCCGGGCAGGCCGTCCAATATAAACTCTGCTACTGATATCCCTTCATTTGCCGAGTAGGTAGTCCAATATAAACTCTGCTACTGATACGCCTTCATTTGCCGGGCAGGCCGTCCAATATAAACTCAGCTACTGATATCCCTTCATTTGCCGGGTAGGCCTTCCAATAGAAGATCAGCTACAGGGACCCTTCATTTGCCGGGCAGGCCGTCCAATATAAACTCAGCTACTGATATCCCTTCATTTGCCGGGTAGGCCTTCCAATAGAAGATCAGCTACAGGGACCCTTCATTTGCCGAGTAGGTAGTCCAATATAAACTCTGCTACTGATACCCCTTCATTTGCCGAGTAAGCCGTCCAATATGAACTCAGCTACTGTTATCCCTTCATTTGCCGGATAGCTTGTCCAATGCAAGATCAGCTAATGATACGCCTTCATTTGCCGGGTAGGCCGTCCAATAGAAGATCAGCTACAGGGACCCTTTATTCGCTAGATAAGTATCCTATTAACAGATCAACCACTGGTACCCCTAACTGTCTAATCTGACCTTCAGCTGGGTATAAAACACTTGGTTTTACCTGTCTAATATGACATTTAGCTGGGTATAAAACACTTGGTTTTACCTGTCTAATCTGACATTTAGCTGGGTATAAAACACTTGGTTTTACCTGTCTAATCTGACATTTAGCTGGGTATAAAACACTTGGTTTTACCTGTCTAATATGACATTTAGCTGGGTATAAAACACTTGGTTTTACCTGTCTAATCTGACATTTAGCTGGGTATAAAACACTTGGTTTTACCTGTCTAATATGACATTTAGCTGGGTATAAAACACTTGGTTTTACCTCTCTAATCTGACATTTAGCTGGATGTAATACACTTTGTTTTACCTGTCTAATCTGACATTTAGCTGGGTATAAAACACTTGGTTTTACCTGTCTAATCTGACATTTAGCTGGGTATAAAACACTTGGTTTTACCTGTCTAATATGACATTTAGCTGGGTATAAAACACTTGGTTTTACCTCTCTAATCTGACATTTAGCTGGATGTAATACACTTTGTTTTACCTGTCTAATCTGACATTCTGTATGACCTGAAATAATTTGATTAAATTTTACCACTCTAATCCGAAATGTTTAGTGTATAAGACAGTTTTACCTATCAAATACATTTTATAGGTCACAGGAACCCTTATAATCTGATTCACTATCGAATATAACATATTTGTTCGTCACAACAGTTTGTCACTGACAAGCATCAAGCAAATGAAATTGTAGCACATATTGAGAAACACCAAAAATATCTCAATATTTTTAATCTTATTTCGCAATACATTCAAAGCATACATACGGTAATATATTATTCTATACTGAAAAACAAACATTGAAAATAGGCTGATACGTAACTTATAATTCACTTATGCAACACTGTCACTAATTAAACGAATACTAGTAATGATCTCCATCGTAAGGCATTATTATCATTGTCATGGAGACTGCGGCGTCATCAAAATGGCTGCTCCGGTTGACAGGAATAATTTGGATTGCTTTAATTCAAGTTATAAACTGCAAATGATAGCAAAATTTGAAGGGAATGTAAACATGACTTACGGCAAATATGCCACATACCCTGGTATTGGACAGCATCTAAAATAACTCTCAAGAAATAATAATACATACGATAATATGGCGAGTAACATCAGAAACACACTGCGCATGCGTTATAGCGACCATAGAAAAAAATCAAAATGGAGCGGACGAAAAAATAACTAGTTGAATCGAACTGAAGAAGATAAAACAAAGATAACAAATAATTACATTGGAACAGCTACTCCTGGAATTCTAATGCTGTTTTAACTGTCCTCCGAGGTATACTTTACTGTAAACCTAACTCGTCAATAGTAAACAATATCTATAGAGATTCGGCACTTCCATGTGTTGGATAACATCATTCTGTATCTATTGCCATCAATCAGATTTCCTTCCAAGATGCTAATAATACGATATACCGCGTCTTAGGGCTTTTTTATTTTCCGAGAAGGGATTATACCATTGAATAAAATCAGTTTTACACGTTGCCGACTAAGGACGAAAGTTCATTAGAATATATAGTTTGGGGATAGTATGCTTGTTTAATGCATATACTGGAGATCATGAATTTTCATTTTAACACGAGACGCAGTCGAGGTTGTTAGCGCGTTTCTTCCGAATGGAGATTGCGAGGTAGGAAACAATGCTATGTGATATTATTTCATTTCTTCATGAAATTGTTCCTTGTATTGAAAATATTGCCTACTATAGAAGTTATCGTCTTTATCGAAATTCTGACATTAAGCCTTTCTTCGAACTCACTGGAAGCACAGAAAAGTTAATCAGATTATGTCACAAAGATTATTACTATCGCACTCTACCCTTCACATTTCGATGTTGATCATCTGCATGAACCGAGAAAATGGCCGCCATCTTTGGGCTAGCGTCAGCAGATCATGAAAATTATCCAATGGAAAAACCGTTATTTTAGAATACAGAGTCGGTTTAATGTTTGTCAATTATAGCAATATGTATAAGAAAATAAAAGATGTATTCATGACAACGAAAACATCATAGTGTCCAATGAGAAAGAAAAGGAGCTAGATTATCTCCTTTTTCTCGCCCTTATTTGACGTATACGCTAAAGCATCAGGCATGAAGGGTATATATTTGAATCCCTTCCACCCTCGCACACAGCCTGGAACGACGGGGTCATAGATCTCCAACCCATCTGTGTACATATTTCCTTCTTTGATTCTAACGTCACCCTGTTCGTCGCTTGTCACATCTCTCCATGCAGTTAAACCCCTCTCTGTAGGAGTTCCTTTAAAACAATGACGAGGTTTTATCTTAATACCCGGAAGAATAGGATATTTTAAAGTTTGATATTTGTCTGAAAAATGAAACCTCGATATTTATTTACTGAAAGTCAGAATACATCCTACACCTTACTTATTGAATTAAATAAATTTGATCATTTCCTCTTTGTTTTGGCTTGAAACAGATTAAAACACGTTACGATTAGAAATAGAACACTTGGACACGTATCTCCTTACGACTTACCGGCTATAGTATTGTCCAATATACATGCTAGCACAGCTCCCGCCACAGTAGCATTACCAAACACCATATCTAAGATTTGATCCAGAGCTTCGTTTCCTAGATAGAAAAGAACATTATATGGTTATGAAAAGTTAAATCTGCTGAGCATAAAATATACAGGAAATTAGTTACGGTTTTGTCAGTTTTGATTAGGCGATATCAAATCGGTGCAAAAATTGGTCGTCCACCAACAACTTATTTGAGATTGCCGAAAATTACTTCTAATCCGTATATTTCATTGAAATCCGTACCTGAAGTAATTAAATTTGTCATCGAAAGCTACTTTTCTGACTTTTTTGTTGAGATATTTCAAATTAAAAAATAGATAGATGAAAGAATATAAAATAAAATGAAAAATAACACGTTCCTGACCTGTCTTCAAGCGATCTGGATTCTTTTCTATCCAGTACGGTATAATGGTACCGACGGCGATGGCGATCCCCATTATGGCCAAATTCCTGTTAGATGTAAGGTCCACATGCTGAAGGTTGGCAATCATTACTCCTATGAACATACTGACCATGATCAGCATTGTTCCTCCCAATACAGGTTTAGGGATAGTGATGAAAACGGCACACAATTTACCGACAATCCCAAACAACATAAAGATGAAACCGACCATCTGGAACACACGCCTACTGGCCACCTGTCAAAGAATTGTACAAATTCTCCAATACAGCTAAACAATTTATTCAGATGTATCGCGAAGTTAGTTTGTTCTTCTTGCACTCTTTAATAATGCTAGACGCCTTAAAATCTTACATACAGCACGCAACTTGAGAAAATCAAAATTGGTTGAAATATAAAAACTCCGACGGGAAGGTGCGCTAAAACGGAAGTACAGTATGCTAACCCTTTATTTTGATATCCGGTTGTTTCTAGGACGCACGATATGTATCATACTTTTATGATATCTTATACCTTTCTGATCCGGTAATATCGTTTTTATATTACTGGCTAGTATACATATTTCCCGTCGTGATACGCAAATCGTCGTCTTTTGTCGTTCTGTCTATACTACACCTACCGTTATAGATAGTAATTACCTTTGTAACACGTATAGCTCCGATATTTCCACCATAAGAACTTGTCGAATGTCCACAGCCAAGGGTTCCGGACAGGAATGAGCAAAATCCCTCAACGGCGACGCCTCTGTTCACCGCGTGGACAGGAGGAGGCGGTAAGTTACAAGCCAATGCGCATGCGTAGTAATCAGCAATCGAGTCCAAGATTGAAATCATAGTTGCGATGAAGAACCCGACGAAAGCTTCTCCATTAAACGATGGCACGCCAAACTGGCCTTTATAGTGTTGTCAATAGAATATAGAACATTTTAATACGAATTCAGTTAAACATACACTGTATATTATTAACAGCACTGTTGTAGAGTTGTTTCGTCCTTTTATAACTTGTCTGTAAGGATACAAAGACTTGCTGACAAGACAAAAAATATGTGGTTAGATAATAGTGGGATAGAGTTTTGATTTTTTGTTAGGCTTCAGACAGAAAACAGTTCAGCAAATAGTCGTCAACAAATGTGTTTGTGTATCCATAGAAACAGCAGACTGTAAGAATAAACAAAAACTATAATAAAAATAATCTTGCGCAGTATCAATTGTGTCTTAATATTGTTGGTTTACATTAGTTTGTTAGCCATTTAAGGCTATTACCTGGGTAAGGGAAGTAAATCCAGCTGGCATTCTGTATCACTCCCGGCATGATGTCCGTCCTTGCAAAGTAGTCGGGCGCGTGCGGGTCATCGGAGAAGACTCCACACGCCGTGAGTATAGCGCACATCGCCCAGCCAGACAGCAATGCAATCAGAATCTGGTTAGATTGTAACAGTGTATTACTTTAATTCAACAAATATATCGTGACAATCGGATCTTCAATCCAATGGATATTTGTTCCAAGTATATAATGTCTTCTACATTTTTACCAGTAGACAATCATGCCTATATTTTTACCAGTAGACAGTCATGCCTATATTTTTACCAGTAGATAATTGTGTCTACATTTTCACCAGTAGACAATCATGCCTACATTTTTACCAGTAGACAGTCATGCCTATATTTTCACCAGTAGACAATCATGCCTATATTTTCACCAGTAGATAATCATGCCTACATTTTTACCAGTAGACAATCATGCCTACATTTTTACCAGTAGACAGTCATGCCTATATTTTTACCAGTAGATAATTGTGTCTACATTTTCACCAGTAGACAATCATGCCTATATTTTCACCAGTAGATAATCATGCCTATATTTTCACCAGTAGACAGTCATGCCTACATTTTTACCAGTAGATAATTGTGTCTACCTTTTTACCAGTAGATAATCATACCTTCATTTTTACCAGTAGATAATCATATCTTCATTTTTACCAGTAGATAATCATGCCCACATTGTTACCAGTAGACAATCATGCCTACATTTTTACCAGTAGACAATCATGCCTACATTGTTACCAGTAGATAATCATACCTAAATTTTTACCAGTAGATAATCATGCCTACATTTTTACCAGTAGATAATCATGCCTATATTTTTACCAGTAGACAATCATGCCGACCTTTTCACCAGTAGACAATCATGCCTACATTTTTACCAGTAGATAATTGTGTCTACATTTTCACCAGTAGACAGTCATGCCTACATTTTTACCAGTAGATAATTGTGTCTACATTTTCACCAGTAGACAATCATGCCTACATTTTTACCAGTAGATAATCATGCCTACATTTTTACCAGTAGATAATCATGCCTATATTTTTACCAGTAGACAATCATGCCTATATTTTTACCAGTAGATAATCATGCCTACATTTTTACCAGTAGATAATTGTGTCTACATTTTCACCAGTAGACAGTCATGCCTACATTGTTACCAGTAGAGAATCATGCCTATATTTTTACCAGTAGATAATCATGCCTACATTTTTACCAGTAGATAATCATGCCTACATTTTTACCAGTAGACAATCATGCCTACATTTTTACCAGTAGATAATCATGCCTACATTTTTACCAGTAGATGACCAAACCTACATTTGTACAATTGGATAGTCGTGCCTAAAATAACATTACAGTGAGCGTTGTTAGGATACAGGGATTTATAAATCATCATATTTTTCTCTGGTTCTTATCTTTATCACTAATGTAAATACTACAGGTTAATGGTAACATATGTCTATCAGATATGAAGATAATTATTTTTTTTTGCTTAATCGCTTCTACCAACATAGCCAGTTCAACAAAAAAATCATTGAAATTCATATATGTGGAAATGACAACTATCATCCTTGACCCTGCTTGTCATTTCCTTGATTGACGAATCTAAAAGTAACACTAACTTAAGAATTCGATAGAGCTGAGCCAAATATCGAAATAAATTACCCCATACAACCGTTTTGAACAGCCTACATCAGAGATGGCAGTGGAATAAAAATTTGAATGACCCCAGAAACGAATGATAAAACAATCAAAATTGTCTAAATACTTGTCATTGTTAAAAATTTTGACAATGTTTCACTTTTGTAATTGTTAAACTAGAATAGTCAGATATTCTTACCGCTGCTGTTTGATGGAAGTTTGAACGTATAATGTGTAAACCCTTTTTCCAAGTCCAAAAAGGCACGGGCATCTTCCAATTCCCCAGATATAACGACAGTATTACGGAAATAGAGGCCGTCCTGAAATACAGAGTAGAGGTCTTAGCACCAGACCACAATGTCCAATGTCTGATTTTATAGGCATTACAGAATTAGAATTAAAAGTCTTTGTGTAGTGTAATCACAATGAAATAGTATAACAATATCAGTTTAGCTCAAATGTTGTGAACGTTTCTCCAGTATTTGGAATAAACTGTGTAATTTTTCAGTCATTGTTTCATCAAAGCTGACTAAGTGCTATTTACATACATTAATGTTAAACATTATAAAGTAAACCTAAGTCATCAATACTGAGAAATTATTCCTGGTCACACGACATCATATTTAAAAACATGTTATTGATTCTATAAATCGCTAAGTATATCAATATACAACAAAGTGTTACCTCATCAAATACCTACCACAGCTGTGTACGATTAGCCAACCATCAGGAGGGTGACTAATTTACATAAAAGTCATGAAAACAATCACAAGAAATTAAATCTTTGGGGTTAAAGGTCATCGCTCAGTAGCAGCAAGATTCCTGTGAATTAAACGTCTTTATAGTAAAGGCAATTATACTCAACACCTGTTTCATAATTATCACACAATATCATAATGTACAACAACACACGAGAAATATCACAATGTTTTAACATGTAGTTACATCCTGTCATGCATTTTAATAAAAATATCACATCTTATTGCTAATGACTTTCAAGTATAAGGGTATTTTACATATTGTAACGTCGCGCTGCGCAAAATTGAAATCAAGTTGTGCTGTTGTTTGTGCTTGTTTGAACCGTTTACGAATACATAAAGTAATCTGTAGTTTTATTTCAATAAGTGGTTTAAATAAGGGGATAGTATGTTTGTTTTCATGAATATATACTGGAGATTAGGTAATGAGCTTTGTTGCGTCTCGTTTTCAAACGACAAAATTCATTATCTAATCTCCAGTATACGCATGAAAACAAACATGTTATCCATATTTTCAAATAACTTTAGTCTTAAAGTGTTGTAATTATCGCAAAATAAACGAAATTCGATTAAAAAAAGGACTGAAGTCTACACAATTTTGTTCGAGACGGTCCTTTACATTGTCTTAGCTAACCAAAACTCTCCTTTAGACCATCCATTACATAGAAAACCCGCCGAATTTCCAGTCAAGATGTCGATAGGTTCGGGTCGTGGCATATGAAACGGCTTAAATGTTTCTCTTTGTGAATCATTGTCTAAATCGTTGCTTATATTAATTCCTGGCGTAAACACCTGAAATTTGTCATGTCTATCTCTGAATGGTAAAGATATTTGTTCATTAAAGTAAATCGATGAAATAATGGCCGTCATGGACAGGACGCATCCACAGTTGTCATCGTGTTGCTTTCAAATGGAGTCTGAGATTTAGGTATCATTCTCTATATCATTATTCAGTAGGAAACAATAACAAGTATCATGATATCATTTAGTTGTGATATTAAAACTGAAGCTGATTTCTGGATGGAAATACCACATACTGTAACGATAAGGCACAAAGCATCGTCTGTATTGACAGTCTGATAGGACAGACTGACTTAAAGAGGAGAAAAGTCACTAATGTTATGACAACCACACTCTCTACTAAACCTTTTCGTGAAATATTTTAGCATGTCATTATAATAAATTCCTCTAGTGTTGATTTTACGTTAATTATCTACCAAAAGGGGAAAGATAGCCGCCATATTTGGACTAGCGTCTGAATTCAAGATTATATCGGGGATTTGATCATATAAATCGCCCAATGAAAAAAATGCGTTGCATAACCGTTATTTTATAATCGAAATTAAACGGCGTTTTAAAACACAACTTCTGATGATTTTAAGAGGTGGTCTTTGGAACGACACCAAATTGTGCATCGACATATACCTAAGATATTCTCTGAAAAGATATGTTATAGATACATACAAAAAAAGCTGTAACAGAACGAGTTTAACTTACATAACTCCAATTCCCCACTGTATGGATATCAAATTAGCAACAATCTTCGCCATCCACAAGCCAACCAGTAAGACAGTGGGTGCCACTGTGATGGGACCGACGAATCTGAGCAGGACGCCCACAAGTCCTGTCAAGCCGATCACGCTGTGGATAGAGCCCGCTATCATAAGGCTTCCCATCATCTGCAAGTAAATTTTGTTGCTATTATTTTGGCTGACGTCAATCTTATCGGACTGACAAAGTTCAAAAGATTCGCGCTTAGATTAAATAGTGCCTACACAATAAATGCGAAAGAAATAAAATCGCTGAAATATAATTAGCAAAGATTTCCCTCGAAAGAACGTGGTTGCTAAAATCCTTTGTTGGGGTTGGGGTAAGGTTGGTTTAAGAAACCAGTTTCTTAATGGCATACGTAATTTTACTTTGAGGTTGTCACTCACCCCACGTAATTTATCGAAATCGACGTCCTGGTGACCTTGAACACTCCTTCCGTCCACCATTTGAGTGATGTTTGAAAGCGACCGGTATTGAGAGTAATTGGAGTTATGCCAGTTATAGGTAGCGTTCATTTTCGTAGTGCCTATAGACAAAAATACATGAAATCACATCACTAATTTGCTGCCTGTCTAGATAGACAGAAAGTAAAATACAAGATGAAGTATTTCTATAACTGAATGGTGCCTAAGAAACACGAATTAGTACCATAAAAGGTGCATTAGTTATCTTCACGAATGACTTCCATGAACACGAGATTTAAGAAATGCTTTCATGACAAACTCACCATAAGCGTTTCCCACTATCTATACGACAACTGCATTAACTAATTTTGTTTGTTCGTTCGTCTTCTACTTGACAAATGCAACATATTTTAAACCATCTTCAACCTCAAATGAGGTAACCTAAGTCCCATTGGCATTCCTACATCCACTTTGAAATTCTTAAAATGCTTCTGAAATATACTTCCGAATACACCGAACTGAACATTCCACTCGGTTGCATTAAACTGACAACGCGGGCAAACCAGTAGTAACACTGCCACAATGCTAAGAGAGAGTTATAGATATTACATGTATAGAATCGGGCATAGAACAGAATTCAAAAACCTTTCTGACAAGAGCGAACGTTCAGCTAAAGGCCAGCCGTGAGGCAGGGGGTATTAGTTATGAAATAGCTAGAACGAAAATTGAAGAAGTCATCTCTTACGAATCCCGCAATGCGAACAAAGGACTCATTTCTTCGTCCTTCATGCAAGACGATTCTCTAAAACTTTGCTACTAAATAAAGTGTGTAATGCAGAACATGTATACATTTATCTTGTATTTATCAAACAAGTATTCACTCTATGCCATAAAGTAATACAGAGAAGCAATTAGCGTCGCCAACTCCTCTGACAGGCCAACTTAATATTGTCCGCATCAAAAACTGCTAGAATCAGCCAAACTGTCAATGCGATAATTTTAGTTGTAACTTCCTGGTTTGCTAACTCATTGCCACGCTTGTCAGATACGATAGGAGAACTTTAACAAAAGAAAGATTTACACGCAGTTGAAAAAGGGCAAGGAGTATGTAAACCGTGTATTCCGGACGAGTAAGTGTCCTCTTCCTCATCGCCAACATACGGGAATCTATGTCAACTGAGTAAGCAATGCTAAGTTCTCATCTGAGGATTAAGTATATAACAGCGAACTTAACAAAGTTACTGCATTATCGAACATAATTTATTTCAAGTCTGATTTTCTAAACAGTCCATAAAACAGACTCAAAAATCAAGCTAACATCTCGACCGTCCACCCGACAAATCTCAACTGGCCATCTACACTATCAACCATGACCGTCCACCCGACATATCTCAACTGGCCATCTACACCATCAACCATGGCCGTCCACCCGACATATCTCAACTGGCCATCTACACCATCAACCTTGACCGTCCACCCGACATATCTCAACTGGCCATCTACACTATCAACCTTGACCGTCCACCCGACATATCTCAACTGGCCATCTACACTATCAACCTTGACCGTCCACCCGACAGATCTCAACTGGCCATTTACACTATCAACAATGACCGTCCACCCGACATATCTCAACTGGTCATCTACACTATCAACCTTGACCGTCCACCCGACATATCTCAACTGGCCATCTACATTGTCAACCTTGACAGTCCACCCGACATATCTCAACTGGCTATCTACACTATCAACATTGACCGTCCACCCGACATATCTCAACTGGCCATCTACATTGTCAACCTTGACAGTCCACCCGACATATCTCAACTGGCTATCTACACTATCAACCTTGGCCGTCCACCCGACATATCTCAACTGGCCATCTACACTATCAACCTTGAACGTCCAACCGACAAATCTCAATTGGTCATCTACAGTTTCAATATGACGACCCTGAACGTCCACCCGACCCTTTCCGTTTCGTCAGATAATGTCTCTACACACCAGTTGTAGTAGCAGTGATGTCACATCTGTCTGGTCCTGCGTCCTGTAATACCAGCAGTGGTATGATGTATTCTGTAGTTCCACCTTGAAATATCGGCAATCTACGAACGACAAATCAGTTAAAAACATGTCAAACCTTTAAGCATTGCTTTTGTTTTAATGTATATGTATACTACTTAGAATAATACTATTGGTTTGATATCCGTCAGAATCAACTTCTCAAGCCAAAGAAATTGATGTAAGATACATTTCTTTATCATGATACGATAGTATTGGTATTAGAACATTATTCGACTGAGAAGTTGTCAGAAAATATCCATCCCTAATAAATCATCTGTAAGTTAGTTAACAAACTTAGTATTCAATCTATTTATCAGTACCTAACACTGTTCAGATCGTTGAACCGTGGGCAATAGTCCCATTTCGCTGGCATTCACAACGATATGTTTGATAATAGATATGTATCACTTTGCCAACCATAACACGTGTTTGAATACTAGCAAGCAATGCAAGGCTGGTGTATGACATTCATACACATGTTTAGATCATTTTATCTGATAGAAAACATTGATGGCATATCAAAAAATATTTTAAATGTTGGTGCAATTTCGAGTCATTCTTTGGTCTTCAGTGAGTTTATATTTTCTCCTTTACCTTCTTAAAACCCGATACACATTTTTAATCATTAAGTATTGACAGAAAAATTTGGGACTTGTTCGAATCTTGATGCGGAAAAAGCGACGTCTGTAAATAATGTAAATAATGGTTTTCTTGTTCTTTTATTTTGATTATTCCAGTGCCCAAATTGAAGACCGTTTCTTAATTTAAATCGCAATAGAACATATCCACTACATTATTCAAAATAATTCACTCATGACTTACCTGGGACCAAATATGGACATAATGACTGTTGTGAAACCGCACATGAACATCGTTGATCCAAGCAGGTTGCTTCGGAGAACAGGATCATGCTCGCCATGAACAGCCTGGGCCACGAGTAGGGATATCATCAGCTGTGTGGCGAACGCCAAGAGTGCTTGCTGGAAATAACAATTTATTGTACAGTAAGCATGCAGGGAATTAACATTTTCGTGTCAAATACACTACTAAATGAAACTTTTAAAACACGTTATCTTGACGCGTGTATAAAATACCTGTCGTAAATGTACCCAAATTTTGCATGTGTATATATAGACATGGCCCTTTATGGTCGAATCATATTTCTCAATTTATGCCAAACTACTTATGTTACAGACAAGGGAGGGGATGAAATCCATTCAAGCATTAAGGAAGAGTAGTGTTTTGAATCAAGGTATTATCCACCTATCCTTTTGAGGCCTCGACCCCAAGTCCTTTACATGGAAGGAAATGTGTATTGTGTCAACAACTGTTTTCATACAACGACTTGAGGTAAGAAACGCTGCGCGGACCTTTATGATTATGTTGGGAGAAACTGGTGTGAACTTGCATTGTTCGTGTCAATACACTATTACAATGACGCGTTTATTTTCATAAGTAGTTACGATATTGGTTCAAAGTCCTAGTAACTCCTTTGAAACAGCAACACACCAAAATCCAAATAACTGCTCTAACCTTCATGATTAAGACGGCGATACAGTTGAAGAATTTTATTTATGGTTTTGTCACAAGGAGAAAGATTTTCTTAATGAGACTGAAAAAGAGTGAACGAGAGGCGAAAAAAATAGCGTTCTCGCCTTTCGCCAATACCGCCGGGGTTTATGTTATCACTTGAAGATGAAAACCGGTACGAGAGTTACATTGGATTGTCGGATTTCTTGGTAAAGACTAGATTTTCCAAAGACAACTGTTAATGCTTTGATAAGTCAAATAACATCGGTTTCGTAATTACAATAAATTAAATATTATCAATTCAATCAGAAATACTATTACTAACCTGGAATGCGAAGACGATTGTAAGATGAATTGGGGGGTTGTCGCTGATCTTGTAGACAAGAGGTGCAGCTGTCTTCACTAGTGAGACACTACTATGATTCGTCAAGCTGGTATCCTCATCGGTAGGCAGACACGCTTCCAATACCGATAGACTATTCTTATCAGGATGAAGATTCCCACATTGCACCACGTCGGTGTGTGAAAGTGTCGGGCTGACCTGGGTATCCTTCATCGTTGGAGGATAGCGCTCCATAATATCTGTGTCATCACCGAGTTGGTTTCTGTCAAATGCTTCGCCACTTTTGTCCATATTCGCAGGTAGGAATTTGAATTACTGTTTTTGTAAACAGATGTCTTCAACACGTTTGTTATTATTGTTCAAAATTTTGTGGAAATGTAATCCACCAAATTGTTAACTACCCGAAGGCACGTCTCAGCAAGGGTGTTTGGGGTAACAGTGAGCAGTTTTATAGTCAGAGCTGGCTGGTTCGTTTACCGGCGGATTATTCATGCGTATTTATTTTATACGAATACTGACGTAACATAATGCTGGTGCGGACGCCATTTCCTCTCGATTATAGTAGGAAATGAAGGAGTTTTCTAACAAATATATATCTTAACTACCAAGGTCGCTTACTTGTTAGATTAAGAATAGACTTGAAAGCTATGACAGTCTACCTTTGCAATTTAAACTTATCACATATCTTCTTTTCATCCGAGTCATCCGAGCTATTTTGATTACAACGAACGCCTGAAAAACTTTTTCATGTAATGGAATATCAGTTAAAGATAAGGATACTCGAGATATTTTGACTCGCCGTGGCGGTGAACCAAGCCGTTACAAGTGTGATTTACTACAAAGAAGCTCATTACAAAAATGATAATTTCTTAGCGTGAGCATTAACATCTGAAATATCGAAGTAGGCGATAGACCATTGTTAATATAACCGAAGTAGATGTATGACGTCACGTGGCGACAATGCCTTTATTGTAAGACATATCAATAGAGCAATTTAATACGGTAATCAACAAGGTATCATAAAAGTGACAACATTGGAATAGAACCTCGATAACAAACAACTTAAAGATTTAAAGTAAAATTAGATTGTAAACAGTGTCTAAACAAAAGTGCTAACATGATAAAATCCATCGAAATATTTTCACTGTAAATGTCCGATATAACAGGTCGGTCGGGAAAGAATACATTAAGTTCGAGAATCAACAATTGTGCACTATGCCAACTTTTTCCAACCATCAATCTTACGTAGAGACAGCAAAACTGTGCCTGAACTTTCTGACCAACTGCTTAAAAAATCGTTTCAATTTATGTATACGGATGTTGTTTGCTTTATGTATTTTTATACAAGCTTCTAGGTTGCAGGTGGTAGACATAAATACCACATTCTGATTTATACACATGTACGAAATCGAATGAATGATAGGGCTTGCTCACTTCGCCATTTATTAGAGTGCCTCCAAGATTTCAAAATTAGGCTTTCAGAAGCACTGACGAGTGTTTGAATAATTAAACATCTGTATCTGGACTTGTTTTGAGTGTTATTCGTTTGTGTGTCTTTCGCACAATCTTCTAAATGCACAACAAAATCACTGAAGCGTGACAATGACTGCATACTCGGATTTCCATGGGTTATGATATCTAGATCTATGCATAGATCATATTGCATCCCCATGAATTCCATTAGTAGGTACAATGTTCACATATTTAGATTACTATACTACGTTTCCCATGGACAAGTAAATATCGCAGTTTCTACCTCCTTCTCTCCCCCTCAGCTATGTGATATTTTACATACTGGTGGTGGGGAAGCCTTCCACAGTATACTTCAGTGTTCTGCGCCATCATGAGGAGGCCAACGCGAACATATCGCAGCTTCCCGAAGGCACGCGCACGTATCACATGCATTCATCCTGAATACACATGGATTCAAACTTAAATGGCCACCATTGCATTCTGGTTCATTTGATTCCTCCAGATGATATAGCGGTAAGCTTGACAGTCGACGGGGACGAAAAAACGGTTACTGCTGCTGAGCGCCAAAAGCACGGTTTTTATAACTTGGTATGTCACTCGGCTAGGGGCTCAATGGTTACCCAAAAAAGAACCGTTTCACGGAATTCGAAAGTACGAATGTCTTGTGGAAAGTTTATAGATGAAGGCATCTTGTCTCTTGCAAATTGAATCATTAAGGTCGGTAAACTGTTAACATTTTTCCTCTGATTTGCTGGTTGCTTGGTTACAAGTTTTCCGTTCCGAGACTCTTCCAATCGCTAGGAGTTTTCTCACCGACAAACGACAGCGTCTCTGTGACATGAAATGACATTGTTCCAACATCAGTTGATCTAGCGTACAGCTCTGATATATGTATATATATTTGTAAATATTCTTATCTTATTGAAAAGAATAGATGTATCTTGCAGACATGTTTATACTTTCATTGGAGGAGCTTGCCTTTTGGTTTGATTACAACCAAACGGACAGATAAGACAACATATCAAAGGTCATCATTCAGCAGAAAATCAACCAGTAAATCAATGTTCAACATTTTAACCTCCCTGGTCGTTCTATAATGTTGACGAGTGTCGGTATTCTGGAGAAAATTTGTCCAGTTCTGGATGCAGTAACACTACTCTTGAATCTTAATTCACTCTTCAGACTAGTCGTAATCGTAGCCCTGGAAAGACGCATTACAATCAATCTAGCGGATGTACTGTCACGTTTGAAAATCTGATGGAAAGTTTACATAAGAACCACCAGGTGTCCTTCATGATCGAAATACCTTACATTCGCTATTGATGATGTGGGGCAAATCAGGCTTTTTAAACTTGTCCGTACTGAGAGAGATGCTATCCTCCAATTTAAGAAAGTTGAATTTGTAAATAAGGGAGTGGATACTCTAAACATAAGCAATATTTTACACCAGATGTCTTTTCAAACTAACTTTCCACCGTACTTTCAAAGCAGAAATACCTCTATAATTTCCTACAGTTACTCCGAGCCCATTCCATCCAAACATTTTAATTATAAACAAACGATGCAACAGATGAATGTATATGACCTTGGAACAAGTCCTCCGTCAGCTTGTTCTTGTTCTACTTCTACTTGTTACTATGGTCCAACGGGATTTAAGCATTATTCAAAGTGATAAGTTACGAGAGCTTTTCATGAAGGGTCCTAAATATCGCGAAACCTTGCCAGGTAAATGGAATATGAATTTCGAAACACTTATGGATTGCGTTGAAAACTGTGCCAGAGAATGGATGAAACGAGAAAATTCTGTGTCCTTTTTCGCTTTAAGAGAGGGTTAAATCTCTTCGGACCATCATTTTTAAAAGAATTAGCAGCTTGAAATCAGATTTGCTCGACCCTGATGTTAAATTTACACTTTAAGATTTACATGACAGGTATGATATCGTGCCTGCGGATCAGGAGTCGAGTACATTGTCTGCAGACATTATTATACTTTCTGTTTATAAAAAAATCCTTGGTTTGCTTGATAACACGGGAACCACTACCTATGTATTACTTAATTTTCCAGAGAAACTAGATTTCCATTGATTTTCAGGGAATAGGAAGCAAGGGAAAAAAACAGAAAATTAATTCGTAAAATATATCTCTAGATTGAGGTAATGTCTTCAATGTCTTCTGTCTAGTGGACACTGGAGAGCCTAGTAATATGGGTGTGTTATATCTCAGTGCATGATCTTAGTATGTGACTAAAGGTGGGGCCCCTACAGAATTAGTTATATTCGTCAGTGTCTTCAAGTAAAGATACATTAAAGAGATCAAAATAGAGCTGTTGCCCCAATGTAATTTTTGGGAGCCCTTTTTCTTCCTGTACTTTATTTTCTACTTTAGGTATCCCTAGTGATATCTGTCCTCAAGTGACCTGACTGTTGTAAGGACGTTAAATACACGTATCATAGACCTCAGTTTCTCCTCCGTTGTGAATGGCTGGAAATTTTTGTTTCTATCTAAAATTGTGTTTGATTTTCCAATTTCGTATAATCCAGGGTGGGGGGAGCGGTCAGACGTGGGCGCGACCGGCTCCCGTCTCTACCCACACTCGGAACTCCTCGGGCGTTAGTTACATTCGAGGAGTTCCGAGTGCCTCTACCCATACTAAAATTGACCATGTGACAATTTTTTGCGAGAAAAGTCAACTGAAATATCACCATTAGTTTTCATTCGTTCAAGTAAGAACAGACCTGAAGGGAGGGTTCGTATAATTCATATACAGCACGGTTCTTTTTTTTTTTTTTTTAATTACTATTTGAAATAGCGACCCCAAGTCACCTTTCAAACCAGTCTCAAAACTAAACATGGATGAGAAAGTATCAGCGAAAACCTAGATAGGAAATTTGGTAAGATGATGTGTCGAAATCCCATATACGTGTGTTCTTTTGTAGACCTATCATTGATGGTAAGCAAGCAAAACTGCACACCAAGCACCGTGAAAAATCGACACATACACGTATGAAATTTCCGGAAAGGGTTCTTTCATTTCTTTCAAGAAAAAGCGACAAAAAGACTTTTTTTCAGTCAAATACCAAGAAGATAATTTCATCTTTTAGATATCGCAGTCCTAAGATTGAACTTGCACAGCTACGGACAGAGAAAAATCTATATATGAAGAGACTGCTTTCTGGAGCTATTTGCAAGATGTAACAATATGAGATTACTAAGGGTATCATATGCGGACGACGGGCCTTTTCATAAAATAAATTATTTGCAACACCATCCTGATTTTTTTTATCCCCCACTCCTAATCCTACCGGAGCTTCGCCCCAAGACTCTATACATATTTTATTCAAATCCTGTCAAGCATCACAGCTCCCGGTACACTGTCTCGTGAAGGCCGCCCTATTGGCTTGAAAAAAATGCAGATTGGTGACCTAAATTTCAGTAGGCAATCAACGTAGAGTTTTAAAAAAAATGGAAAAATCAACACCGCGCTTACACAAGATTACAGGTCATTTCTGTTTTCATGAGCCAGAATGTCGGCTTTATTAAGATTGTACACCGGGAGTTTTTAATCGGAGCTGTGATGTTTGACAGGATAACGTAGAAAACAAGAATAAACAACAAATAAGACAATAAAGAACCACTATTATCACTGTATATCGCGGACATATAAATGTGTTTATAAGCAACTCTTCACACAGAAATATGGTACGAAGGAGATATTAATGTTGATGTTTTAATAAAAGTAATGCAAATATTTCGTGCAATGACAATATGAAAATTTCCAAAGCTGCACAGGATTTCTTTGAAACATCGGGTAAATTTAG